TGAGCCGATCAACGGTTAAAAAAAATAAATTAATAATTGAAAATTTTTTGTCCTTAATTAATCTAGCTCGAACCAAATTAGTTTAAAAAAAAAGTCACTCTAACCACCAAATCTATAGTACTTCTTACTGTATTAGAAACAAAAACCACACTTAAGAGAAAGCACCACCATTTGCCACGTGGCATTTTCATATCATATTTTTAAAATAAATTTTTATTTCTACATCTCCTAGACTTAAAAAGTAAATGCAGTCCAAATCTACCTCCATCTCCTATTTTCGCAAAAAAAAAAAAAAAAAACAATGGGTTCATAAAAAACCCAAATCCTTATTCCCATTTCTACCACAATGGACTCCCTAATCAATTCCTTCTCCACAATTAAAATAAATAAATAAATTCCTCATCAATCATCAATTGAGAATATGTGGTGAAATATACTCCATTCTAATTAGCATGTTCAATCCTTTCATTAGTTATGATCAACTACATCTTAATCGGATAAAATTTCGACTTCAAAAAATATTTTCTTTGCCTCTCTATATAAATACAAAGGAAAAAAGAAATTCTCATTGATCTTGCTTCGGCCGTTGTGGTGGTCCAATTACAGGTATTAAAATTTAAATAATTTTATTTTCACAGATCATTTGTTTGGCTTTTATTATTTTTTTGTTTTTCCCATTCAAGAATAGTTTTATTACTATTATTTTTATACGTCCATCCGTTACGGTAAAATTTAAATGATTTTATTTCCACAGATCATTTGTTTGGCTTTTATTATTTTTTATTTTTCCCGTTCAAGAATAGTTTTATTACTATTATTTTTTATGCGTCCATCCGTTACAATTACCATAGTCGTTGTCATGTAATATGATGTGATTTCTTATATGGTTAGTTAGCCGAGAATTTTTGTATAATTTTAGTTCTGTTTGGATTGAATTCATTAATTGGGTTTTTGTTAGAAAATGTGGTTTTTTAAATTTCTTTTTTATATTTCATTCAATTAGAGTGGTTTTTTTTTAATTATAGAGTCTCAATTTTTTTTTTCATATATGGTCAGTCATGAAGTATGTTTTTCTTTGTTTAATTGCTTTTGATTTTGTTTCATACTCCCAGTTGACCAATTATTATTATTATTATTATTATTATTATTATTATTATTATTTTATTTACAAATGAAACGCGTTTTTTTTGTGTTAGGACTTTCAAGAATATACTTTTTTGGATTTAATTTTTGGACTTTTTTTAGTTCCTCATCATATAAATAGTTCAGATCGCTTCTTCTAATTAATTTTTGGGGAGGCCTTTTATGAATTTGAGACGGAGAGTGAAGGAATGATGTTTCTACGTTTATTTGTGTTTTTATACAAATAAATTTCTCAATTTTTAATGCGTTATCTTTTAATTTCTTTTTTTTTCTTTATTTGCCATGATGAGGTGAGTTATTTTTTGCTATAACTTGAAACCTATGCAAATTTACATATTTTCATTCTCATATTTGTGATCAACCAGTTTCAAAATTAACCAGTTTCAAAATCATATTTTTGATATTTTACCACCTATAAACTTTTTGAAGAAATAGTTCCAACAATTAAGCGTATACCCTTGGGAGGAAGCTTACTAAAAAGTTATTATAAATTTCCAAAACTAAGTATTGATTTGGCACAATCAATGGAGAACATCAATAAATTATCTGACTAATATTTAAACTTATTGGCATGCTTTCATATTTTATCTAGCATTTACTTCAAGACATATATTTGATCAAGTTTATTTATATTTAAGAAGTAACACTTATAAAATATTTTTAAAATCTTCAGACATTTCTAAAATGTACCGGACCAAATACAATTTCTTTTTATGCCAAATACAAACATTTCTATAATCACAGTTATAAAACATTTCTAAATTTTTCAAAAATTTCTAAAATATATCGGGCCAAATACAAAATATTTTTTTTTTCAGATACAAATATTTCTAAGATCTACAGATATATTGGGCCAGGATCGCGCATTGCGCGACCAGACATCACTAGTAATTAAAGCAGCAAACAAAAATGACATGCGTCAGTACCACAATGAAAATTTTCCTGTCAAAAATCATTTTCAGTACAAAATCATTTTTGACACGTGCCACTCTAACTAATCAGAAAAAAAAGATGGAATAGATAAATACATAAATTCCTTAAATATAGCTATATAAAAATCTCTTAATTATAGGTATATACTAATTCCTTAAAACAACAATATTTAGTTGATAAAATTAAATGTAAGGAAATTCCCTTAAATTAAGTGAAATACCAGTAATGTCCTTCCAATCCCCAATTTCAAATGATCTCTTTCATTCGGCTCCTCTCTCATATCCGGGCCTTTAAATCAATTACTTAAAATCTGACATCAATTATCAATCCATCTCTTTCAACAACAGAGAAAAAATAAGCTGTCATGAAAGAAATTTAATTTTTTAAGGATGATTTTTTTTATTCTTCTATTGTAGATATTGGTTTATGATTTATGTAAACCCAAGTATCAGTCAACTGTTGTAAATTAAATATTATAAATCTGGGTATAGATTTATGTGTAATAACTCACTTCCTGTCCTTTCAATCAATTTTTTATTCTTCTATTTTTTTTATTCTTTTGAGAGGGATTCGTATTTTTTATTTAATCGATTTAAAAATACAGGAGGTACTCCGGGCATTCGCCTGGAACAAGCATCTAGTTTGTCTTATACCAGGAAAAAATTTCAATCAGAATCCATATTTTGAAATTCGTCTACTTTTATGCTTCAGCCGTCTGGCGGGTGGCGAATCAATTCTATTGATACTAAATCCTCAAGGAACTAGTTTTGTCAATGAAAAATAGAAAAAATTATTTTTGTCCGCATCTTTTTTTATAATTTTTTTTTGGCCGAAGCACCCCCTTATCATAATGTGTAATGGTTTTATGTTTCTGAGACAAGATTCTACAAATGTTGCCTGGATTTTTTTTTTTCCCTTGATTTCATGAGTGTGCTTTTTGGTTTGGAGTTTAAACTATGTGTAAATATAACACGTAGTATGATTAATTGGTATCAATGTAAAGAAAAAAGTTTTGCCGTTGACCTATTTGAAAGTAGATGATGACCAAAATCTATTGTTTTGTATTATTATTAAAAAATCAGTGGTATTATGGATTAGAAATTAATCATTATCATTCATGATGTTGAAATTTTCAAATAATATAAGATTATTTACACAAATTATAAGCTTCCACTTTTCATAAGAAAATATATTTATAACCACTTCCTTAGCGGTAAGTCCAAATATGGCACAAAAATATAATTAATTATCTTGACAAACAAAAATGATATTGTAACCTCAAATTTCAACTTAGCTTTCATTATTCGACTAAATATTACATGCATTCTGAAAATGTATTTAAAAAGTCTAATCGTTGAGTATTTCATAATTGAAGCAATTTTGTAGTCTTCATAAAGTAAGTAGCCAGTCCTTAAATAAACCAATTTTGTAGTTTTCCATAATGGTTGAGTTTTCCATAATTGAAGTTTGAAGCAATTTTGAATCGCTGCCATGCTCCGAGAACCTGCTACGGCGTGGCCTTCCTCCATAATTCCTTTTGGGCTTGTATCTTCTCTGCTAAAGTGTGGCGTTAAGCGGATCTTCGATCTCATTTTGCAGAACAGGCTTGAGCATTTCCTACGTGCTCAAGCTCGACGTAGGATTCAATATCTTTTCGTGGCTGAGATCTTAGAATTGCGAGAGGCTTTAAACCTAGCGGAGGAGATGAAAATCGAAAACTTATCCAATTCAGTCTGCAGTGATGAATTATATAGGCACAGATCAATCACCATTTCAACATAAGAAAGAAAAGGCAACCAGGGAAAGTACTCCAAAACTCCAAAGTAATCAAAATAGTGTTCATAAGAGAGTGCAGACATGAATGTTTAATAATCCACCAGCAATACATAATACACTCAACACATTTTATAATTTGGAACTATATAACAATAGTGACATTACACCGAGAGTTGCCAAAAATATCACCCTGCAAATCTAGGATTTGGTTGACAAAAGTTAAGGCAAAAGGGCTGCACCAAACCATCTCGATCTGACTGCAGCAGCTGGAATTCCTTCAAAAAGAAGACTCAAGTCGCGGGCAACTCAGCACTACAAGTTGCTCAAACCAGGGATGACTCCGCTCTTCAATATATCCAGGGAATCTAGTTTCAGGAACTTCTGCTTTTGGAATGCGGCTATCGATCATGTAACAAAAATCAACCTGATAACGCAGTCAACTTTTATCAATTGACACAGACTATCTTCAAACAAAGAGGAAACACGATAAAATCTGCAAAAGGGTTGGTCATTACTTTGAAATGGTTGCCTAAGAATTTAGCTATCAGATATATACTTTTTTTTTTTTTCATTTCATTTTATTTCCGAGTTCTTTAAACTCATCTATTTAAACCTCTTCTGATAACCTTTCCAGATTTCTTTTCAAAAATTGCACAACTGGGTGTAAGAAACAGTAAGGGCAAAGAACTGAGAAAAGTAAATTAAATTCTTCTCGTTTCTACTAGCAAGAATATCCTTTTCTTGCACAGATGTTCTCAATTTTCAACTAGTGCAACTAAATGACTCTAATGTGAAGCAGAAATCAAAAGATACAATAAACATAGTTTCAATCTTCTTCAATTAGGAAGATTTTTCATGAATAGTGCTCTTGCGGAAACAAATACGAAACAACAGTTTAACTTGCTCGAAATCATAACCTTTTAGAAAATCCCCAAAGAAATAATGATTTTTCCCCACCAGCACTACTACATTTCACTTGTGCTCTAAATAATTGCCAATGTAGATTGTAGGCTAACTAATCCATGCAAGTATTTTGTTTATCTGCCGCGGTGAATTAAAAGGTACATAACGCATATGAACATTCAAAAAGAAAAGGTAACCTGAAAAAGTATTTCTAATGAAGGAAAAAAAATTTGTTCATACCTGATTCATGACGCCAAGCTAACAAGAGTGACATTAAATTGAGGGTTACCAAGATCAAGCTGCAACTCCAGGATCTGGTTCACAGAAGTTATGGCAGAAGGGCTGCACCATTTTACCTCAATTGACTGCAGAGTTGAAATTTCTCCGAAAGAAGAAGGGATCTCCAAAAGTTGTGGGCAACTTGACACTACAAGTTGCTCAAGACAGGGAAGGTGCTCAGCGCATGCATCCCAAACCTCAATGTCGAGGAAATCAAGTTTCAAGAACTTTAGCTTTTGGAATTCGCCATCGACCATGTCCCATTGTTGCCCCTCAAATGCCTTGTTGAGTAGTTTAAGAACCTCCAGATTGGGCAGCTGCCTCCCAATGACTGAAATTTCATCCCATGGAAGGCGGGAGTTTGATATCGACAACTTCCTCAGGTTTGATGGAAAGCTGAATTTATATGGACACTGCACCTTACCCGAGAAGATTACTTTGAGTGATAGAAGTTCACTCAAAAAATTCAATGCTGGAAACAGGCTGCATCCTGTAGAGTCATCCCATGACTCTGCATAAAATTTGCATCCTAGTTTCTTGATGCTAGTTAGCTTACTTAACACCAACTTGCCAATATCATCTCCATGCCTTAAAGACAAAGTGGAAACAGAATTGAGATTATCATGCTGCAAGAAATTGTCAACAAAAGTTTTGTTACAATGCTGGAAATCAAAGAAACAATGATCCATTAGGATGTTCCTCAGTCGAAACAAACTCCAAACTGACTCTGGCAACAAAATATAACCAATTGCTCCTGTTATAATCAAAGTTTCCAACTTCCGGAGGTTCCCTATATCAGATGGAATCTCTGCTGTGCGAATCCGGATTGATAAGTACCTCAGATGAACCAAAGTGGCTATCATAATAAGATCAGAAGAATCTGCACCGCTTTTAACTCTAACATTTCCCAAATCCAACACTTCAAGGGATTCATGCAGAAGAAGGAAAATATAATTGGACTGTTCTAGTCCACGTCGAGCATTAACCTGCTCAGATTGCCGCGCACTCTTAAGGCCTCCTCTAGTAATGATGGCTTTATCCCTGAAAACTGCCTCTGAGACCCCCAAACTTTTACCAAACTTAGATCCTTCATTGGATCGTGCGTAATAAATAGAACGCTTTGGCATTGGACCATGAAGAGATATCAATCCACCGAACTTGGGTTCTTGATGCACGAATGTTCCTTTCGCAGAGCAAAAGTCTCGTAATACATCATGAATGCGGCATACTTTGAATCCACCATAAGAACTTCTTCTGGCAATCATTACAAGGCTTCTGTCAATGAGCTCATCCAAGTAACTCTTTGCCTCTTCCTCAAAACTTTTCTTGCCAAGATTATCTTGCAGCACAAATCCTTCAGAAATCCATAGGCGCATCAAATGCGATACCGGGATTGGAGTGTCCTCTTGAAATGTTCCAAAATGAAGGAAGCATGACTTTAAGTAATCTGGCAAATGCATGTAACTAAGTTCTAGTATGTTGGTGAATTCCATTTTGTCCCAATATTTTCCACGTTTGATGCTTAACTCATTTACTTCTTCAGCAACTTGTTCCCAAGATTCTTTTCTTCTTTCTTTGCTTTTCAGAATTCCAGACATCACAGTAATTAGAAGAGGCAACCCTTTACAATGCCTCGCAATACGCTTTGAGACTGCCCTCAGTTCAGGGGGGCAAGTTTCCATACCAAATATCTTAGACCATAATAACTCACAACTTTCTTTGTTGGAAAGTAGACGTAAAGCATAAGAAATGCTGTTAGCTCTTGAGGCTACTTGACGATGACGAGTAGTGAATAATATTCTACTCCCCTTTCGATCGTCAGGGAAGATATTCTTCAAATCATACCATACCTCAGCATCCCATATATCATCTATCACGATTAGGTACTTCTTGCCCTTCAAACTTTGGTAAAGCTTCTGAGCACAATCTTCTCCTCTAACCTCCTCATTGCTTGAATTGGTTTGCCCAACAATTTGGCCTAATATGTCAGCCAATAAAGTTTCTCTTTCATACACTTGAGAAACGCAGCACCAAGCGGAAACACGAAACTGAAATCTGATTGAAGGATGGTTATACACCGAATTTGCCAGAGTAGTCTTGCCGAGTCCAGGCATACCAACAATGGACAGAATTTTCAGTTGAGGCGAATTTTGAGTTAGAATCTGAATGACTTCACTAGCTGAATCCTTCAACCCGACAAGATCATCGCTACTGGTTTCCCCAATTAATTTCGAGGTTTCCATCTCATCCTTGCAGCTGATCACTGTTGCATTGATGTCCACAGGAGGACTTTTTTGTGCTGTTAATGAACCAAGATTCATCGAAGAATTACAATGCACATTTTCTTCCTTGAGGATGTTTTTCATCTCCTTGGCGGCCGCTCTAATATCATTGGTGACAACAAACATTCCCAACATGTGATACCATAGTGAACCCTTTCCAGCACAAAATGAATCAATGATAAGACTGCAATTACAGGCTGCTTCTCTGACTTGTGCAATGAGAAGTTCCATCTGCGATTTCCCCAACTCATCGTCAACAATCTCACATATTAGGCATCCTCTGATTGATTTCATTTCATGATAGAATGCTTCCATCTGAGTTTTCAATGGAGCAACTGAAGGCGCATCGTGAAGGATCAGATCCTGAAGATTTTCGATGAGGGAATCAACAGATTCCATGTGGTGGTTGGGGCTGCTGCTTCCAGGTGTTTTGTTCACCGAAGACAGATAGAAATGTTTGCAATTGCCAAAGTAGTCAACGGACTCAAACAGTTCAACAAGGCCATAGCTCCCATCGGCTTTCCCCAATGCATCTTTTGCTTGTTTCTTGAGAGATTCAACGGATTCAAGCAAACCAAGAAGGCCATAGCTCCGGTAACCTGCTTCCTCCTCCAATGATGATGAATCATGTGCATCCTGTTGTTTCTCGGCATAGAAACAAGAGTAAATTCGGCATGCTGCTTCAAAGATTAGAGCGAAAGTCGAAACAGAAAGGGATTCCATTTCCCTGACAGCAGAAACTTCTTGAGTATACAATTGCAGTGAGACAACGAGATTGTTCCTTAAGAACCTCAGCTCCTCAACTATCGCCTCAATCGGATCTTTCTCATCTCCGACCAAAGAAATGGGAGATGATGACAACATCTGCTTCCCCTGCATCCTCAGTTTATCAAGAACCCAATCGAAGAACTCGGCAACCTTTGCATCGATGATTCCAGAGGGAGTGTCATTATGTTGTAGACGATCCAGTAATCCCCAATCAAAATAATAGCATTTGACAACATCATGGATTGTGCCAATAACAGTCTTAAGTAAATATCGTGTTACTTTATAGGAGGTAACATACTCCTCCTCTGTTTCATCATCCACTATACGGCCGAGATACGAAAAGAAAAGTTTCCAGAGTTGAATAACCAACAATTCAATTACATATTCATCGCAATAACCCTCTGGATGCTTAAAGAACCGAGACCCATATATGCAAAAGAAATTTATGAGGAATCCCAGTTTGTGAACGGCCTCTAAAATCATTCCCTTCTCAGAGATACATGAAATATTCTCCGAATCTTCTTTCTTCCCGGGGTATTCATGATTGTAAATTGATTGGAGAATCTGGAAGCAAGAGATAAATGAACTTACCAGGAGCTCTCGGCTGCGGCATCCCCCATATCGCCTCAGTGACTCGGGCCCCCAGACTGGATAATTTTTCTTGATATCTTGGAATAACTTTTTCATGAATTTCGAGTGGGTTAGCTGCAGGAAGTCTTGTTGATCAATCAGGTCTTGTTGATCAATCAGGTTTTGGATCTCATCGTCCACCCACTTCAACCGTGGTTTCAACTCTTCGTAGACGATGTCGGATTCCAACAAAACCCTGACTGAGGGCCTCAAAATGTTCTCAACCACTTCCAGATTCACATGCCTAACTTGTTGTTCTGTAGGATGATGTTGCGCCAGGGAATTCATTCTTTCTTCCGGCCCTGATTACAAAACCATCTACACTTATTTCTTCCCAACCCAAAAACTCCAACGACCTGCAGCTTTCACGCTAGCTTTCTTTCTTGGTTCTCTCAGAATTGGAAATGTAGTCAACTTCAAAAGATTAAAGCCATGTTCTTTCTATAGTAGTCGCCTCAGTTTATTATTGTTAATTTGCTAGTAGACATTTTTTTTTTTATTCCAAACTGCATTTGAGTGTTCTTCATAAAAAAATTGCCATTTGTAGTGGCACTTTGGCATCCATCAGTGTAGCCAACTACTACCATTTTGCTCTGTCAATTGGATCCAGATGAGCAACATAAGCTGAATTCTTTTCCCCTCTTTTTTCAAAGGTTATCTTCTCTTGAAAGACATTAAAAAAGAGAAGGGGAAAAAAAGGGAAAAAAAAAAAAAGTAAAAACAAAGAAGGGGAGTTGGTATTCCAACATGTATAGAGTGTTAACTGTCGTGTTTTATTTTTTAATTTAATTTATTTATCTTTATCCATAACATAATATAAGATAAAATTTTGTGTAGTCATATTTTGCTACAAAAACCCCATGCGTTGTAATCTTGGATTATGATATAATTAAGACCTGCAACATTTTATTGACTCCTAATACTGTAATTTCTGTACAATGTAGTAATTAACAGGCGATCACTTCATCTATTTGCCTGAGGTTTATTTTTCGTTGAGCTTGGCAATTAAATGACAATAAACCTCATCACGTATTAGGTTTACTAGTTAGTTCCAACAATTGAATCAAGAGAATTATAAATCAAATTACAGTTCAGTTCAGTCCCTCTCTACCAATTGTCAATTGATGATTCTTTGGATATCATCGAGATTTGAATTCCGATCTCGCTCGCGATTACAGTAATCTTCTTTGGTCCTCGGGGGAAGGGAGTCGTCATGTGAGGCTAAATGTTACTCTTTTGATATATACGTTATGATTAGTAACATGAAAGTAGTAGTTAGCCAATTTTTGTCCACTAGGCCGCTGATATAATGATGAATAATTCTGCCCTCCTTATGAAGAATAAAAAACAGCAAAATGGTCAACTTCCGTTAGTACACAAAGATCATGAGAAACAGCAATGAGTTGAAAACAGATATGATCAATTTGTAATAGTACCAACATAGTTTGCGTGAAGAAAATTTGAGTTGATAATGGAACGTTGGCTAATCTCCTATATATTCTTCTTTAAATTAAGGTTACACTGAACTTCCAAGTGTCGTTCGTAACGTTTTGCTACTTCCGAGGCTCCTTATTACAGCCTAAAGTGACTGTTAGTTTATTTACTTTTTTTTTTAAAAAAAAAACACAAAATTCTTATTCAATTAACAACACACTGGGAGGATCATAGAAAATAGAGTTTTTATTGTGAATTAAGATATATGTAAACAACACGTTTTTCCCGTCTTACAAAAATAAATTACTTTGTTTTTTTTACAGTAACTAATTTACTTTTGTTGAGATTAGAAATATAATCCAAAACGCTTCTTATAGCTGACGTTCTAACAACACAGAAGTCTCAAACTCCTACATTTCCCTGAAGCCTCTCATTGCTACCTCGTACGCTCCGCTCGGACACCTGCATTTCTTGTCCTTAATTTTTATCAAACAGGTTCTGACGACAACCGAAATGACGGCCGAGGAGCAGAGAAAGGCAGGTGAAATTGTTTCGAGCCTTGCTAAGAAACAAAAGGTGAACGACTAAAAAAAAATTGATTGATTCTCGTTTAAATTTAACCTACTATTTTAATCAATGATAGTAGGTTATTTTTTCTAAGACGGGGGAGTATTATTAATTTCTGAAATGTATACATTTGTGTCAAATTGCAAATTGCAGATCGGGGAGGAGGCTTCAGAGGAGGAAAGGGATCCACTTGCCGAGCAACAGTTGGAAATCGAGAGGCTGCTGAAGAAGATAGAGGAGTTAGTTGCAACTAGCATCAATCTAGATCGCCAAATCAAAGATGAGAATGAAGAACGTCGGAAACTACTTATACAAGTATGATTTTATTTTTATTTTTTTAAAGTTCTTTTTTTCAGTGTTCATTTGAATCTAAATAATGTTTTGCTCTAAGAAATCATTTCCAATAGATGTGGGGTAAATTTCGTAAAGGAAATATCGTTTACAATATTATGGGGGTGTACTTTTCCATTCTTTTGTTACAAATTTATGATATAATGTATACTCATTCTTGTTACTATCTCTGTCTTAAAAAAAATTCTATCAAAAAACTAAAACATAAAAAATTAGATGACTTAATCTTGCAAATAAAAAAATTAATATGAAAAATTGAATAGAGTTTCATAACTATTTGTCAATTTAATTATAAATTTTAGATTATACGAATCTTAGAAGTTCCAATTTTAAGATTTTTCTGGGAGGATGGAATATTAACCTTTTTTCCTTCTTCAAATTGAATCTTATATGATCTTTATTTTCAGGCCTTTAATGAGATACCAGAGTTGATAAATAATCCTTTTCAAATAGGGATAAAAATCATGGGTGAATTTGATCCAAAGATTTTTGAAGAACAATGCAAGCTGAAATTCGCTGATGATTATGAAGTTAAGGCCAGAGAGATGTACAGCCTTTGGGAAGAAAGATTGAGGAATCCTGATTGGCGTCCTTTTAAAGTTGTCACGACCATCGACCACAAGAATATGGTATGCATACACATAAAACAACTATGGCGTTTTGTTTTAAATATTACTCCTACTTTTTGTTCATTTTGCTTTGCTTACTTTACTTCCATTGATCTTAGGCTATGTCAATTATGTTAAGTTTTTCTTCAAAAGAATATATCAATCTCACAGGATATTTGTTTCTTTTCAGACAGAAGTGGACGAGGATGATGAATTACTGAGGGAGCTTAAGCTGGAATGGGAGGATAAAATTTATACCGCCATAACCAGAGCCTTAAAAGAGATGGATGAATACAACCCAAGTGGGAGATTTCCGGTGCCGGAGCTGTGGAACTTTAAAGAAGATCGAATCGCCACTTCAAGGGAGGGCATCAACATCGTGAACTCGTGCTGTGAGATGATTAATTGCTCTTAGCCAGAATTACAAGCTTTTTGTTAAGCAAACCTTTTTCTCAATAACTTTGTGTTTTTCTCTCTTTGCGGTTGTTTGAACATCATTTGTTCATTGTCTTGAATGCATGGCTGATGATTGTTTTTTAAGGACGAAGTGATGTGACCATTATGACATTATTATTATTGCTAAAAAAACTTTAACTTCATTTGGTTTTAAGGTTTCTCTCACTGGTTTTTTCCTTTTTTTAGTACTTTTTTTCGCATTCATAGAAAATCACCCTTTCTCAAATTTTTCTTTTTGCGTTATCTTCCTCTCTGACTATAAATGATAAATGCACCCAGAAACAGCAGCCTGGTAAACACTTCTCTTCAATTTCTGCTTTCTCCACGTCTTCAACATTTGAGCTTTCAAGATTAGGTGTTGGCTAGCTATTTTCCCGCACTTTAACCAGCCTTTCAGCAGCTCCAGCAGCTGCTTAGAGTAACAGCACTGAAAAAACAAATGATCACAGGTTTCCAGCTCAACCTTGCATAGCCAACAGCAATGATCAGAGACTGCTAGATGCATTCGAGCTAATCTATCGTTGGATAAGATTTTCTGCTTGTTAACCAGCCAGGTGATAAACGAGTGCTTAGGAATATTCGCACTCCCCCAAATCCATCTCGCATTCACATTTTTCTCACCTACACCTATCAACCATCTGTAACCAGAAGCTACTGAGTACCCTACACTTGTTTGATCATTCCATCTTAATCCATCCGAACCTTCTTTGAACAAGTCCCTTAACTTCAAAAGCTGCTTTCATTGCCAACTAGGATCCGCTTTTAAAGTTATTTCCTGAAAGGTAGCACACTTTATATACACTCCATGGATCAATCTAACCCACAGCACATCCTTGTTTGTTAACAGCTGCCAAACCTGCTTATAGACAGAAGCTTTGTTCCATAACTTAGTATCTTTAACTCCCAGACCCCCTTCCCTTTTCCCTTTACATACATCAGTCCAGCTCACCAAAGAAAGGATCTGCCATCATATTTGCCACCCCATAGATAATCCCTGCAAACTCTGTTAACCATTTTTGTCACTTTTTGGGGCACTATAAACATACTACCCCAGTATGAGTGCATTGTCATAAGAACAGAGTTTATTAAAACTTATCTCCCGGCATACGACAAATGCCTGGAACTCCAACACCTAGCAACCATTTCGTTAACAATGCACTGACAGTCAACTTGATTCCATTTTTTGGGAGCCAAAGAAACCCCCAGGTACTTCATGAGGGAAAGAACACTGCTAAACCCTGTAATACCACAGAAGGTCTCTTGCTCTCTAATCCCGACACCACCGAAAAAAAATTTCAGACTTCTAAGGGTTTGTAATTAAATCAGTTGTAGCAGAAAATTCCTTAAACAGACCCATAATTAAATTTACAGTTGAAACATCAGCCTTACAGAACACCATTAGATCATCTGTAAAGCAAATGTTCGTAAGTTTCAGCTCCTTACATAATGGGTGAAACTGAAAACCCTCTTTTGCAACCAACTTCAATCCTCTAGTTAAATACTTCATTTATATTTAATTCACTATATAGTAAAACTACCAAGTACAAAAATAAGTCTATATCTTTCCATTATACCAAAAAAAAAGAGGGAAAATTTGGACGAGGGACACTGGAAAGATTTAAATTAATAAAAGAGGTATGACTTCTAAGTAATTTTTCTTAAAGGCTATGATTTATTTGTCATAATTTATAAAATCAAATTACTTGTGCATTGACATTATTATCCTTATCATTATTTACCAAAAAAAAAAAAAAACTTCCCCTTAGAGATTACGTGTCAACAGAATTACAAAGCCAATATTCTAAAAAACTTTAGAAGTTTTATTTACATTCAAGCTTTCCAAGATGTAGATTTCCAATCCAATACCTTTACAAAAATTTAATATTAACATCACTACTAATCATTTTGCCGTCGCGAACATCACTTACATAAAATTAATGATCATTTCCCAAAACATAAAAGTAATGATCCTTCGTGCATCATTAATCAATGGAGCACATAATTTAGCATTGCAGCAAGGTTGATTTAGACATGGAAAAACAATAGTGTTTGATGAGGAGAACGTGGAAACTATAATTTGGAAAAAGATCAAGTGCGAGCTGTTGGGAATCAAACAAAATCAAGAAGTTGTAGGAGTCATCAGAAATGATACCGTCGATATGCAAGTTCATTGGTGCATTTTACAAATTCTTGGGAAGGGGTTTGGTAGAGGGGTGGTCCAGAGACGAGCTTAGAAGGTGCAGAACAACAGGATTCATCAAAGTTCTTGAAGAATCTGATTCCAAAACAACTATAAAGTTGTGCTCTAGTCGAAATGGAATCGTGAATTTGAAAGTTGATTTGATATGATTCAGGACCTTATGGACAAAATTGTTGACAGGTGCATTTCATGCACATGTTTATATTGCGATTTCTTTCTCTTTCTTTACGAATCAGTAATAAATATATTAAAAAAATTGTATTAAATCACAGAAAAAGGAGCAAAATCTTCCTTTGGTCTCTAGTTCTTAATGTAATCAAAATTTATTTTTTTTTAATTTTTTTAATTTTTTATTTAAAAAAACAATTTCATAAATAATAAAGAAAAAATAGGGCATCGAATATACTAACCCTATAACAAGTAGAATTCTAATAATAAAGAAAATTTGCATCCTTATTTAATCGACGAACTCTAACTTTTGTTTTAGCCTTTGTTTTTTTCGATCGATTGTGATATATTGAAACAGAAACTTCACTGTAAAAGGACTCTCGCTCCAATTCCCGTTCCGTGTCAAATTCTTCATCTTCTGAATCCTTATAATTTGACTTTGTTCGCCCTCGGAATTAATATGATCAATTGAAAAACTTGTTTCTGAAGATTCTAAAAGTTTTCCTATCTCCATGTCATCTTTTGATAAATAATGATTGTGATTAACTTGGAGGAGTGGGATTTTTGGTCTAGAGGGACATGAGATTTGTGGTCTCGATGAGAATTCCGCAGCTGCAGAATTTAGCTTTTTTGTAGAGATGGTTTGAGGGCTATTTTTAGAAAAATTGACCCCCATTATTTGGTGAATTTTGGGGAGAGGTTGACTGCGCAATTAAGGAGCCTGATTTCGTCTTATCAGCATTCAAAATTTGGGTATGCGGTTGAGATGTCATTGAGTGAGATAAGGTCGCTATCTTCGGACTTTGTTGACTAAGCGAAGGAGTTTGATCCGTTGACTGAGTAAGAGGCGCAATTTCAGGGATTTGTTGCGCAGATGGTGGCCGTGGAGTCAGCGACTCTTGCCAAACAGTCCTTGATTCTGACCGGAGATTCCTTTCCGATGATGAAAATTCCTCACTTCCTTTGTCTGAACTTCGCACCGCATTCGATTCTGGGGAAGCAGCAGATGGTGAACCTTGTTTCCTTTCGGAACCGGCAACCTCATCAATCGCGGAGATTTTAGTTTGTGAAATTGATTTAACCCCCTCCACCGTTGGGGCAGCAGCAACAGGGGAGGCGACTCGATGGCCAGTATCTACTGTGTCATGAAGCGGCAGCGCTTTTTCACCATCAACGTCAACTGGCCGCAGAATTTGTTCAATTCCGCAGGGGGTCGCTACTTGTGCTTCCGTAATGGCAGCGATGGCTTCAGATTCCAACAGAGGCAACGTTGCAAAGACTTGTTGATTTCTTCCTTCAGCGGAGGCGCATTCTCAGAAAGTGAGGGATCAGCTTCAGCAGCAAAGTTTTGCAACAGCGGCTTCACGACAGTTGAGAGGGCCTGGGTTGCACCGTCAGGGACTTCCGTCGGAGGTTGCAGGACTCCCTTTTCCTGCTCCAATTTATGCAATATTTGCTTGTCTGATTGTTGCTTAGTGGACTGCAATGAATCCAATTTTTGTAGCGACGCCGCTGCCTTATTGTGTCAACAAGAATTGAGATCATGCCCAGTCTTTTTGCAATCAATACAATAAAGAGGCATATTCTCATAAAGGACTGATTGGAAATAGGATTTTCCTTCAACACCCAATCGGATTCGGATAGGATGATCCTTAAGAAGATCAATCTCAACACAAACCCGTGCCACCGGCGGCCGAGACATATTAAGGGTTGGAACGTCAATTTGAAGTGGCGTTCCGATGATACTAGCAAGCTTCCACAAATATTCCTTATTAAAGCGATGAATGGGGAGGCCTTCAAAAGAAATCCAAATCGGGACTATGGAGCTTTCATGCGATGGATTGAAATCCGTGGTCCATTTAAGTACTCGCATCCGGTGCTTGTCAAAGGTTCATAAACCTTTTATACAGCAGCGATGATAATCTTCCTCAAGATGGAAGCATGTGAGGACATGTCGATGATCAATCGTTCCTAGTGAGAAGTCTCCTTTGAAGCCAATTGTTTGGAATTCCTTCCGCAAATAGTCCATTTTTGGACGACCTTTGGTAAATTTCCCGACAAGGGCAAGTTTAAAAGATGCTGCCAGTCGTTCATCTCTTCTTTTGTAAGAAGAAAAGTGGGCTCTCCTTTAAAGAAAGTTGATTCTGATTGAATTACAATTAAGGTGATTTGTGTTTTGGCCGAGTGGTTGTGTATTGTTTTTGGGTTAGATCCTAAAATTTGTGCAAAGGAAAGTCGTTGGAGAGGTTGAAGTGGTGGTTGGGGAGGTTGAAGTGGTGGTGTTGAGAGAAGGAGGCTAGAGGGAAGGAGAGAGGAGAGAGTTTGGCCTCTCGAACAAATTACTGCTTCATATATATGATCCTGTACCTCATTTCAAAATTTATCCTTAAATATGCTTCATATATAGGAAAAGATTGGAATTTTCTCCTTGAACATTGTCAAGAAGGAACTCAAAACAACGTAGGAATGATAGAGATTAATCAACTGATTACGTCAAAACAAGCTTACCAGGGAGACGACGGATTTTTTTTTTTTCCCAAATACAAAACAATTCGATTTAAATATTACTTAGTCTTGAAGCATAAGTTAAACACATAGCTCGGCGTTCCTGCAGAACCTGACCATGGCAAACCCAACAAAGATATATACTGGGAAGAATGCCACACAGAAGCTCAAAGATTATAAATGACTGCCAATTCAAATCCTTTAAATAAGACCAATACAGAAGCTAATTAATGATCAACACCAAAGAATATGTATGTCAGAACCATTTTGTTCACCACTTCATGAGGGGAGACGACGGATTTTTTCTTCTTTTTAGGATAATAAATAATAAGGGCAATAACGTTAGTACACAAGTGTGTTCATTTTATTATTTATGACACAAAAATTATTGCCCTTAATAAAAATTATTTTAAAATCCTACCCCTTTTATTAATTTAACCATCTCTATTGCCCCTCATCCAAATTTTCCAAAAACATAAACTACACTTTCTTAATTCTATACTTGAAAAGGAGTAAATCTATTATTAAGAAAATGAACCAATTGATATTTACACCTTGCCCTCAACGATTTCTTCCTCCACGTTCCATCAATTTGCAAAACGTGCCGGAAAAAAAAAAAAAAAAAATCAAACCTCAAATTGGTTCGGTGCCCAAGCCAATCAAAACATGTTGTAACCACAAATCTGCCTTAGGAAGCTCTAGTGGTGAAGGAGTTTTCTGGGTTGGTCCAAAGTATTAAAACTGAAGGCTCTGAGTCTGAACCATTCACCAAAACAAAAGACAGAAAACAAAGAAGGCTCTGAACTAGAGAAGAAATGGCCGATCATTAGTCGAAAAACACAGCTAGTTTTGGATGCAGTCCGGGCATTCATTGACAAGGGCTTTGAATCTGTTCAAGTTATTAATAAAAAAACGTACTTCTCTCGCCAATTTGGCTTTCATTTCTGAACAATAAAGAGGCCGATTTACATTCACCCCATAATATGTGTAATCGTTTTATATCTGAGACAATTTTCTATATGAATGTTGCTTCGATTAGTTTTCTTTTCCTTATTGTACTTCGGTATTGAAGCTTACTTGTTGTATGCACAACAAAATACAGCATGGTTTCTTAATTTTGTAGTGTGTTTATCTGCATAGCATAAATTTTTTGTTTGGACTGTTTTTAGTTTTCACCATGACAAATCATTCAGGTACAATATGATACATGATCCTCTCTTACATTTTTTTTGTGACACTCAATATGACACAATCAAATGATTTCTCATAATTTATATAATTTGTGTTATTATATTTTAAGACTAAGAGTTCACTTTTTTAGGGTTAAGGCTTATTTATTTTAATTTTTGTAGTTAAAAAATTTAATACAAATAGTCAAATTTCACAAAAACTAAAGCATTAATATAAATGATAAAATAAAAATATAAAAATTATCTACATTGAAAATATGTGATTGTGAAATATGTATTCACAGATTATATAAATTATGAGAATTAATTGAAATGTATCATAGTAAAGATCACAAGAAAGTGTCATAGAGTTTCTTGCGACAATATGATAGATCTAATTTTCTCTATTTTTATGAGCACCAGGTTAAAAAAACACATGTGGGGTGCCCCGCTTGTTGACCCGCAGCCCTGATACTTAGAACTTGTTTGGTCAACATTTTGTTTTTGTTTCTGATTTAGTTTTTTATTTGGTTTTGAGATGATTTAAAATGTGTTTTGAGAGAAAATTTAAAAAGTTGTTTGGGTAATATTTTAAATGAAATAATAATATTTTTAGACCACCATCGGACCACCTCCACCACCAGCGCCACCGCCGGACCGCCACGGGCCTGCGACCGACCAGCCGGATTCCGGTCGGTCGCGCCCCGGCGGCGGACGGTGGTGGCGGACGGTGGTCCGGTGATGGTGTAAAAAAATGGTATAAAAATAATGTTTGAAATAAATTTTAAAAAGTTATTTGGATAGTATTGGGTTTTGTATTTGAGAGGTATTTTAAGAGGTAAAATGAGAGAAAATGGCAAAATGGGTGTTTTCCAAACAAGGCTTTCTCTTTTCTATTTTTTTTAAATTATTTTTTAAATTATTATTTCTTTTACATATAAAACAATCGTAATATGTTTTATTTTAACTCGCACGTGCAACTCGTTCTATCAATAACCTTTTTTTATCGCAATATCCAAGTAAATATGTGTAACTAAAGTATGTTTAAAGAGGAGTGGAAGGGACTCCTCCACCCTTAACTATAGGTCGAGGGTTCGAATCTCGCCATGGGTATGGAGCAACCTTAAATACTTTGGCCAACGGTCCTACCCATAAAGGTGCCTACAATTCAGCGAGGGAGATTAGTCACTGTTGCCGACGGTGGACACCCTGCAAGTATGAAAAAAGTATGTATAAAGAGAGTTCGTATCAGTATGGTCGAAATTCCCGATGCCTTCAGCGCTGTGTGCTCGCATTTGGCTCGCACATTTAGCCGCTATGTTGCATTTTCCGGATTTAACATTCGAGCATAAATGTGCAAATAAGAAATGTGTGAAGAGAGTTCATACATCTGTGAAAAAATAGTATGAATAGAGTTCATATTAGTGTGAGAGTTCAATACAACACTGATATTCCAGCGTTTTGCCAAAAAAAAAAAAAACGATGTTCATTTTAAGGAATTTTATTTATATCGTCAACCTTGTGATATGTGTAATCGTTTTATGTTTCTGAGACAAGATTCTACAAATTTTGCTTGGATTTCTTTTCTTGATTTCATCTGTGTGCTTTTGGTTTGAAGTTTGAGCTACTGTGTAAATCTAAAATGTAGTATAATTAATGGGTGTTGTTATTGTCAAGACATAAATTAGGATCCAAAACATATTAGTTTTTTTGTGACAAAATTAACCATACTTAAGTCAAACCTAACTCACTTATTTTCCCCCACATTCTACCTCTATACGTTCCCTTTTTCCTTTTTATTTAATTTTTTTTCAAAATTCCTATCTGCCTAATGTTATTCCGCGTGTGTGCATTAATAGACAATACTGAGTACCGGATTTTTTCCTCCCTCCAAAATCCCACGCCAAATGGTGGTAACTCTTTTTCCAAATATTCCTGCACTTTTCTCTTTTCCCTGCCATTTTATATCTCATCCAACCAAATATATATATATATATATATATATATATATATCATCCAACCTTGCACATTCTATTTCAAAGTAGGAAAATCTACTCAATATTTTAGCCATCTTCCAATACTCAAGAATGACTTAGGACCTAATGAGCAGAATGTTCTTGATTAGAGAAACAAAATAATGTCCACAACTTTCATTGATAACTAAAGTATAAATCAACAATTAAAACGATCTTCAAATAACATAGAGTTGCATATAGAGTGAAGAAAATACAAACTCAAACTTATCTAAGAAACTGTCCAAATTCCATGATTTATTCAACTTAAAATGAAAGAAAACAAGATTAAGTCGAAGGCTAGCTATTATTGCTCCAGGACCAAGCAAATCAGCACAACATCTATCCTTCTACTCCTTGTTGGCTTTTTTTATTTTGCAGTAACTATAATTCTAACAGTAGACACCAATGTTTTCTGCAGAATAAATAAATCATTAGTAAGTGATATTATCTCTACTTTAATTCGTTATCAAAACCAGTTGATGAAACCAAATGTCAAACCTAAAATAAAAAGTTTGTGCACATGATATTGACTTCTAATTCCACTGAAAGTCATCACATGGAGTCAGCATCTCATTCAAATGAATTGAATTCATGTGATATATATCATCCATGAAAGTCGAAAACTGATCATCGTTGAAGCTACTTGTGCTAAAATCTTAATTTTTGGAGGGAGATCGGGTTGGATTTTGGAGGGAGATGGAGGAGAAAAATCCGGTACCAAGATTGATTCTTAATTTTGGGAGGGAGATCGGCATTGGATTTTTGGTGGGAGATGGAGGAGAAAAATTCTGATACAGGATTGATGCACACTTCGAATCAAGTTGGAAAATAGGAATTCTCTAAAAATAAAAAATAAAAACATGTATAGTGGAAGAGGAGAGAATGTGGGGGAAAATAAGTGAGTTGGGCTTGACTTAAGTATGGTTAATTTTGTCACAAAAACAACAATATGTTTTGGATCCTAATTTATGTTTTGGCAATAACAACACCCATAATTAATTGGTACCAATGTAAAGAAAAAAGTTTTATCGTTGACCTTGTTGTCCCCTTTGAAAGTCGAAGAGAAAGTAGACGATGACCAAAACCTAATGTTTTGTATTATTTATTAAAAAGAAATCATTGGTATTATGGTTTAGAAATTGATCATTTTCATTCTTGATGATGAAGTTTTCAAATAATATAGATTATTTATATAAATTATAAGCTTTCACTTTTCATAAGAAAATATATTTATAACCACTTTCTTATTTTCATTAAATAAAACAGCAAAAGTGTAGATAGGTCTAATTATAACATGTAAATATAATTAATTATCACGACATATGATCATTTTGAAAGTCGTTGTGAACCGAAAATGATATTGTTACCTAAAATCTTTACTTCGCGGGCGGCTTTCATTATTTGACTAAAATATTAGATGCGTTCTGAAAATGTATTTAAAAAGTCTAAAGTTAGTATTTCATAATTGAAGCAATTTTGTAGTCTTCATAAGTAAGTAGCCAGTCCTTAAATAAACCAAATTTTGTACACTTAACAATTTTGTAGTTTTCCATAATCGTTGCGCTTTCTATAATATTGAAGCAATTTTATATCGCTGCCATGCTCCGAGAACCATAATTTCTTTTGGGGTTGTAGCTTCCTTGCTAAAGTGTGGATCGAACCATCCTTTTTTCTGTCGTAGTTAGGCCATTCCCAACAATATTAATATGATCCCTTTACTCTCCAGAAAAAAAAAAAAGAACAAAAAACAGCATAATCGCAAAAGTGCCCAAATCAGATACCATGGCGTCAAGGAATATATGGTCCATAGGCATTTAATTTGTCTATCTGCCGTTTTACCGGCGTGTTCCATACTCTCTACCAATGTCCGGCTGACTGATATATTCATTTTGTCTCTCTGCCGTGATGAATTATATAGGCACACAGATCAATCACCATTTCAGCATATGCAATGCAAGAAAAGGCAACCAGGGAAAGTACCCCAAAACTCTAAAGGAATCAAAATGGTGTTCATAAGAGAGTGCAGACATGAATGTTTAATAATCCACCAGCAATACATAATACACTCAACACATTTTATAATTTGGAACTATATAACAATAGTGACATTACACCGAGAGTTGCCAAAAATATCACCCTGCAAATCTAGGATTTGGTTGACAAAAGTTAAGGCAAAAGGGCTGCACCAAACCATCTCGATCTGACTGCAGCAGCTGGAATTCCTTCAAAAAGAAGACTCAAGTCGCGGGCAACTCAGCACTACAAGTTGCTCAAACCAGGGATGACTCCGCTCTTCAATATATCCAGGGAATCTAGTTTCAGGAACTTCTGCTTTTGGAATGCGGCTATCGATCATGTAACAAAAATCAACCTGATAACGCAGTCAACTTTTATCAATTGACACAGACTATCTTCAAACAAAGAGGAAACACGATAAAATCTGCAAAAGGGTTGGTCATTACTTTGAAATGGTTGCCTAAGAATTTAGCTATCAGATATATACTTTTTTTTTTTCATTTCATTTTATTTCCGAGTTCTTTAAACTCATCTATTTAAACCTCTTCTGATAACCTTTCCAGATTTCTTTTCAAAAATTGCACAACTGGGTGTAAGAAACAGTAAGGGCAAAGAACTGAGAAAAGTAAGTTAAATTCTTCTCATTTCTACTAGCAAGAATATCCTTTTCTTGCACAGATGTTCTCAATTTTCAACTAGTGCAACTAAATGACTCTAATGTGAAGCAGAAATCAAAAGATACAATAAACATAGTTTCAATCTTCTTCAATTAGGAAGATTTTTCATGAATAGTGCTCTTGCGGAAACAAATGCGAAACAACAGTTTAACTTGCTCGAAATCATAACCTTTTAGAAACTGCCCAAAGAAATAATGATTTTTCCCCACCAGCACTACTACATTTCACTTGTGCTCTAAATAATTGCCAATGTAGATTGTAGGCTAACTAATCCATGCAAGTATTTTGTTTATCTGCCGCGGTGAATTAAAAGGTACATAACGCATATGAACATTCAAAAAGAAAAGGTAACCTGAAAAAGTATTTCTAATGAAGGAAAAGAATTTTGTTCATACCTGATTCATGACGCCAAGCTAACAAGAGTGACATTAAATTGAGGGTTACCAAGATCAAGCTGCAACTCCAGGATCTGGTTCACAGAAGTTATGGCAGAAGGGCTGCACCATTTTACCTCAATCGACTGCAGAGTTGAAATTTCTCCAAAAGAAGAAGGGATCTCCAAAAGTTGTGGGCAACATGACACTACAAGTTGCTCCAAACACGGAAGGTGCTCAGCGCATGCATTCCAAACCTCAATCTCCAAGAAATCTAGTTTCAAGAACTTCAGCTTTTGGAATTCGCCATCGATCATGTCCCATTGTTGCCCCTCAAATGCCTTGTTGAGTAGTTTAAGAACCTCCAGATTCGGCAGCTGTCTCCCAATGACTGAAAGTTCTTCCCATGGAAGGCGGGAGTTTGATATTGACAACTTCCTAAGGTTTGATGGGAAGCTAATTTTATATGGATACTGCACCTTACCTGAGAAGATTACTTTGAGTGAAACAAGTTCACTCATAAAGTCTAGATCTGGAAAGAGGCTGCATCCTCTAGAATCATCCCATGAATCTGCATAAAATTTGCATCCTAGTTTCTTGATGCCAGTTAGCTTACTTAACACCAACTTGTCAACGTCATCTCCATGCCTTAAAGACAAAGTGGAAACAGATTTGAGATTATCATGCTCTACGAAATTATCAAAGAAAGTTTTGCTAAAATGCTGGAAATCAAAGAAACCATGATTCATTAGGATGTTTCTGAGTTGAAACAAATTCCAAACTGACTCTGGCAACAAAATGTAACCAATTGCTCCTGTTATAATCAAAGTTTCCAAGTTCCGGAGGTTGCCTATATCAGATGGAATCTCTGTTGTGCGAATCCGGATTGATAAGTACCTCAGATGAATTAAAGTTGCTATCATAATAAGATCAGAAGAATCTGCACCGCTTTCAACTCTAACATTTCCCAAATCCAACACTAGAAGAAATTCATGCCAAAGAAGGAAATTATAATTTGACTGCACAGATTGCCACTCAGTCTTGCAGAGTCTATTCATAATGGGTTTAGACATAAAGAGCACCTCCGTGAATCCCGCCCTTTCAGCAAACTTCGATCCCTGATTGCACCTTTCGTAATAAATAGAGCGTGTTGGGATGTGACCATGAAGAGATATCAATCCATCAAACATGGGTTCTTGCTGAACAATATAATCCTTGTGTAAGGGCTCGGCTATCCAGCTTCCCGGCATTACTCTCGTGGAGTAAATGCAAAAGTCTCGCAACACATCATGAATGCAGCATGCTTTTACTCCACCATCAGAACTTCTTTTGGCAATCATTACAAGGCTTCTGTCAATGAGCTCATCCAAGTAACTCTTTGCCTCTACCTCTAAACTTTTCAGGTCAAGATTTCCCTGAACAAATCCTTCAGAAATCCATAGGCGTATTAAATGCGATACGGGAATCGCAGTGTCCTCTTCAAATGTTCCAAAATGAAGGAAGCATGACTTTAAGTAATCTGGCAAATGCATGTAACTAAGTTCTAGTATGTTGGTGAATTCCATTTTGTCCCAATATTTTCCACGTTTGATGCTTAACCCAGTTACTTCTTCAGCAAATTGTTCCCAAGATTCTTTTCTTCTTTCTTTGCTTTTCAGAATTCCAGACATCACAGTAATGAGAAGAGGCAACCCTTTACAATGCCTCGCAATACGCTTTGAGACTGCCCGCAGTTCAGGGGGGCAAGTTTCCATGCCAAATATCTTAGACCATAATAACTCACAACTTTCTTTGTTGGAAAGTAGACGTAGAGCATAAGGAATGCTGTTAGCTCCTGAGGCGACTTGACGATGACGAGTAGTGAATAATATTCTACTCCCCTTTCGGTCGTCTGGGAAGATATTCTTCAAATCATACCATACCTCAGTATCCCATATATCATCTATCACGATTAGATACTTCCTGCCCTTCAAACTTTGGTAAAGCTTCTGAGCACAATCTTCTCCTCTGACCTCATTGCTTGAATTGGTTTGCCCAACAATTTGGCGTAATATGTCAGCCAATAAAGTTTTTCTGTCATACCCTTGAGAAACACAGCACCAAGCACGAAGATGAAAATGAAAACTGATTGAAGGATGCTTATATACTGAATTTGCCAGAGTAGTCTTGCCGAGTCCTGGCATGCCGACAATGGACAGAATTGTCAGTTGAGGCGAATTTTGAGTTAGAATCTGAATGACTTCACTAGCTGAATCCTTCAACCCCACAAGATCATAACTACTGGCTTCCCCAATTGATTTCGGGTTTTCCTTCTCATCCTTGCAGCTGATGACAGTTGCATTAATATCCACAGGACTTTGTGCTGTAAATGAAACAAGATTCGTCAAAGAATTACAATGGACATTTGTTGATGAAGGTTTTATTTTTTCCTTGAGGATGTTTTTCATCTCCTTGCCAGCCGCTCTAACATCATTGGTGAAAACGAACATTCCCAACATGTGATACCATAGTGAACCGTCTCCAGCACGAAATGAATCAATGATCAGACTGCATTTACAGGCTGCTTCTTGGACTTGTGCTATGAGAAGTTCCATCTGTGATTTTCCCAACTCGTCATCAGCAATCTCACATATTAGGCCTCCTCTGATTGATCTCATTTCATGATACAATGTTTCCATCTGAGGAGCAATCAAAGGTGGATCGTGAACAATCAGATCTTGAAGAGTCTCGATGAGGGAATCAACAGATTCCATGGGGTGGTTGGGGCTGCTGCTTCCAGTTTTGATCACTGAAGACAGATAGAAATGTTTGCAATTGCCAAAGTAGTCGACGGACTCAAACAAATCCACAAGGCCATAGCTCCAATCGGCGGTCTCCAATGAATCTTTTGCCTGTTTCTTGAGAGACTCAACCGATTCAAGCAAACCAAGAAGGCCATAGCTCCGGTAATCTGCTTCCTCCTCCAATGATGAATCATCATTTGCGTCCTGTTTCTCGCCATAGAAACAAGAGTAAATTCGGCATGCTGCTTCGAAGATTAGAGCCAAAGTTGAGACAGAAAGAGATTCCATTTCCTTGACAGCAGAAACCTCTTGTGCATACAATTGAAATAAAACAATGAGATTGTCCCTTAAGAACATCAGCTCCTCAACTGTCGCCTCGATTGGATCTTTCTCATCTTCGCCGGCCTTAAAATTGCCAGATGACATCTTCTGCTTCCTCAGTTTATCAACAAGCCAATCGAAGAACACGACACCATCTTCATCAACGATATTAGAGGGAGTGTCATTATATTGTAGTCGTAGACGGTCAACAATTTCCCAATTGAAATGATAACATTTGACAGTATCATGGATTGAGCCAATAACGTTCTTAAGCAAACGTCGCTCCGCATTATAGGAGGTAACATCCTCCTTCTTTGTTTCATCCACAACACGGGCGAGATACCAAAAGAAAAGTTTCGAGAGTTGAATAACCAACAATTCAATTACATATTCATCGCAATAACCCTTTGGATGCTTAAAGAACCAAGACCCATATAAGCAAAGGAAATTTTTGAGAAATTCCAGCCTGTGAAGGGCGTCTAAAATCATTCCCTTCTCAAAGATACTACTTGAAATATTCTCCGAATCTTCTTCCTTTCCCGGGTATTCATGATTATTGTAAATAGATTGGAGAATCTGGAAGCAAGAGATAAATGAACTTACCAGGAGTTTTCGGTTGCGGCTTCCCCCATATCGTCTCAGTGACTCAAAACCGGTAAAATTTTTCTTGATATCTTGGACTATCTTTTTCAAAAATTTCGAGTCGGTCAGCTGCTTCAAGTCTTGTTGATCAATCAGGTTTTGGATCTCATCGTCCACCCGCTTCAACCGTAGTTGCAACTCTTCGTAGACGATGTCGGATTCCGACAAAACCCTTACTGAAGGCCTCAAAATGTTCTCAACCACTTCCAGATTGATCACATGCGCAACTTGTTCTGTACGATGATGTTGCGCCAGGGAATCCATTCTTTCTTCCGGCCCTGATTACAAAACCATCTACCTACACTTATTTCGTCCAAATTCAAAAAGTCCAATGACCTGCAACTTTCACACTAGCTTTATTTCTCGGTTCTCTCAAAATTGAAAATGGAGTCCACTTCAAAAGACTAAAGCCATGTTCTTTTTCTACTAGTCGCCTCAGTTTATTATTGTTAATTTGCTAGTAGACATTTTTTTTTTAAAAAAAAAATCGAAGCTGCATTTGAGTGTGCTTCATAAAATAATTGCCATTTGTAGTGGCACTGTGGCATCCATCAGTGTTTGCCAACTACTACCATTTAGCTATGTCAATTGGATCCAATCATAAAGTGTAATTCTAGATTCTAATCCATCATTTTAAGAAAAGATCAAGTATTTAATTTCATAGCATGGGTCATACACCACGAATTACGGATACATTAACTTGACCAACAACTTCAGCTCTCAAGTCACCACTTATAGTTATGGTTACCATTTACTTATTTAGTTATGTTTTATTCAGAAATTAACATTTATATACATTAGAATTTCTATAAATTAATAGTGTTGGGACCACCAGCATTTATTAATTTAAAAAATTATTAAATAATTGATAAATTAATAAATTATTAATTTAAAGAAATTCTATGAAAAAAAAGGACCGTCACTAAATTTCTTAATTTGCAATTGTCTTTACATCTGAATCAAAGTATTGAAAATTTTCTAAATACTAAAAGTCCATACATAGAACATATCATGTCCACAGACTAAAAATTAAGTATCAATATTTTCATATTTTACTAAATATTTTTAATAATAATAATTATTAATTTTGTTTTAGGGTATTTATTAATTTATAGTATTTTTGAGACCAATAGATATATAAGAGATTTTCTAAAACATTATTATTTTATCGATTTTGTTCACTTTTTGTATTGTCCCAAGTTAGGACCGGAGAAAATTATTAATTGTTAGAAGTTATTAATTTATAGATTATTAATTTACCGACGTTCTACTGTATATCATTACAATTTTTCCATTTTCGGATTATATTTTTACTATATTGATGTGCCTTTATCCCAAAACATATTTTCTCTATTTCAAAATTATTGTTCTGCTTTTAAAAAAAAAAATCAAAATAATATTTCTTAGATCCAAAAAATAATCAAATTAGACAAATTTTAAAATTCAATGTGAATTTTTTTCTTGGACAGTGAAAGTACAATAATAAATACTCCCTCCAGTCCTTATTGAATTCTGATTTGTCCTAAATTTCATCTAATATATTCTTCTAATTGAAAATAAAATCTTAAAAATATATTTTTACATTTATTTTGTTCTCCCAATTATGATAAAATCTTTTTAAGGTTTTATTTTCGATTGAAATAACATATTAGATGAAACTTTGGACAAATCAAAATACCTTATAATAAGGATTGGAGGGGTACATTAGGCTTCGTTTGATAATCACTGAAGTCTGAATGTGACACTTAACACTTAACACTGAAGTCCGAAGTCTGAAGACTGAATTTACGTTGTTTGGTAAAAACGTCTGAATATGATGTCTGAAGACTGAAGTCTGAAAACTGAATCTGAATACTCATGTCTGAAAGTTATTTAAAATTTTAATATCATTAAAATTAAATTATAAACAAAATTCTTTTAAATAGAAAAATAACTAATATTTTGTTCTAAATAATAAAATAATAATTTTAAAATAAGTTTTTGGTATATAAAATAAGAGTAAATGTTACACTTGGTAAATAATCAATATATAATTAAATTTAGATTATTACATATATGTGTATACCTTGTTATTTAGCAAATTTCATGCATTAAAATTAGTTTAATTTGAGTTTGAAAGTTTGAGATCTTTTATACTCATAATATAAATTCAACTTTAAGCACTCTTAATTAATTTATCTTAAGAAAATAAAAATTTTAAAACAATGTAAAAATAAGCGACAAAATAAAGACGAAGGAAAAAAAGAAAAAAAAGAAAAAAGAAAAAAAAGAGTCATCACAGAAATTAAGTAATAAGTGCTAGGTCTATCACTTATTTTCTGGCTCATAATTGAACTGGTCATTCAGACGCACTTAATTAATTCAGACGGTGAAATTTTAAATATTAAATGCACTTAATTTATAAGTACTTAATTGGTTCAGAACTTAATTCATTAAGACTTTTTAGTAGCAATTATTAATCACACTTAATTTTATGAAGTACTTAAATAAATTAAGTCATTATATTATTATTAAACAGAGTAGTGTCGATAGGTCTAAATATAACACGAAAATGTAACTAATTATCGCAACAAATGATCATTTCGAAAGTCGTTGTGAACCGAAAATGACGTTATAACCTCAAATTTCTTCTTCGCGGGCGGCTTTCATTATTCGACTAAAATATTAGATGCGTTCTGAAAATATATTTAAAAAGTCTAATTGTTGAGTTTTTCATGATTGAAGCAATTTTTTAGTCTTCATAAGTAACCAGTCCTTAAATAAACCAATTTTGTACACTTGAACAATTTTTGTAGGTTTCCATAATTTTTGAGTTTTCCATAATTGAAGGTTGAAGCAATTTTGAATCGCTGCCATGCTTCGAGAACCTGCGACAGCGTGGACTTCTTCCCATGATTCCTTTTGGGCTTGTAGGCTTGTAGCTTCTCTGCTAGTGTGTGGCGTTTGGCGGGTCTTCGATCTCACTTTGCTGAACAGGCTTGAGCATTTCTATGTGCTCAAGCTCGAAGTAGGATTCTAGATCTTGTCGTGGCTGAGGTCTTTTGAATTGCGAGAGGCTTTAAACCATACACTCTCTAGTCTCTACCAATGTTTGACTGACTTGATAAATTATATAGGCACAGATCAATCACCATTTCAACATAATAATTAATAAGAAAGAAAAGACAACCAGGGAAAGAACTCCAAAACTCCTAAATAATCAACATGGTGTTCATAAGAGAGCGCTGACATGAATGTTTAATAATCCACCAGCAATAATCTATATATACTTCGTCACATTTTATAATGTGGAACTACATAAATAGAGTGACATTACACCGAGAGTTGCCAAAAATCTCACCCTGCAAATCCAGGATTTGGTTGACAAAAGTTAAGGCAAAAGGGGTGCACCAAACCATCTCGATTTGACTGCAGAGCTGGAATTCCTTCAAAAGAAGACTAAAGTGCAAACTCAGAACTTCGAGTTGCTCAAGCCCGGGATGACTCTATTCTTCAATATCCAGGGAATCTAGTTTCTGCTTTTGGAATGTGCTATCCATCATATAACAAAAATCAACCTGATAAACACAGCCAACTTTATTGATACGGGCTATCTTCAAACAAGGACCATTTAATATAAAAATAAAAGGTTAAAAAGAGGAAACACGAAACAAATATGCAATACGGTTGGACATGACTTTGAAATGGTTGCCTAAGAACTTAGCAATCAGATATATAAACTTTCTTCACTTCATTTCCGAGTTCTTCAAACTCATCTATTTAAACCTCTACTAATAACCTTTAGAAACTCCCCAAAGAAATAATGAATTTTCCCCACCAGCACTACTACATTTCACTTGTGCTCTAAATAATTGCCAATGTAGATTGTAGGCTAACTAATCCATGCAAGTATTTTGTTTATCTGCCGCGGCGAATTAAAAGGTACATAACGCATATGAACATTCAAAAAGAAAAGGTAACCTGAAAAAGTATTTCTAATGAAGGAGGAAAAAAAAATTTGTTCATACCTGATTCATTACGCCAATCCAACAAGAGTGACATTAAATTGAGGGTTGCCAAGATCAAGCTGCAACTCCAGGATTTGGTTCACAGAGGTTATGGCAGAAGGGCTGCACCATTTTACCTCAATCGACTGCAGAGTTGAAATTTCTCCAAAAGAAGAAGGGATCTCCATAAGTTGTGGGCAACTTGACACTACAAGTTGCTCCAAACACGGAAGGTGCTCAGCGCATGCATTCCAAACCTCAATCTCCAAGAAATCTAGTTTCAAGAACTTCAGCTTTTGGAATTCGCCATCGATCATGTCCCATTGTTGCCCCTCAAATGCCTTGTTGAGTAGTTTAAGAACCTCCAGATTCGGCAGCTGTCTCCCAATGACTGAAAGTTCTTCCCATGGAAGGCGGGAGTTTGATATTGACAACTTCCTAAGGTTTGATGGGAAGCTAATTTTATATGGATACTGCACCTTACCTGAGAAGATTACTTTGAGTGAAACAAGTTCACTCATAAAGTCTAGATCTGGAAAGAGGCTGCATCCTCTAGAATCATCCCATGAATCTGCATAAAATTTGCATCCTAGTTTCTTGATGCCAGTTAGCTTACTTAACACCAACTTGTCAACGTCATCTCCATGCCTTAAAGACAAAGTGGAAACAGATTTGAGATTATCATGCTCTACGAAATTATCAAAGAAAGTTTTGCTAAAATGCTGGAAATCAAAGAAACCATGATTCATTAGGATGTTTCTGAGTTGAAACAAATTCCAAACTGACTCTGGCAACAAAATGTAACCAATTGCTCCTGTTATAATCAAAGTTTCCAAGTTCCGGAGGTTGCCTATATCAGATGGAATCTCTGTTGTGCGAATCCGGATTGATAAGTACCTCAGATGAATTAAAGTTGCTATCATAATAAGATCAGAAGAATCTGCACCGCTTTCGACTCTAACATTTCCCAAATCCAACACTAGAAGAAATTCATGCCAAAGAAGGAAATTATAATTTGACTGTACTACTCTACTTTGAGTATTGATAAACTGCAGCAGAGATTGGCCCCTCAACTTACGGGCTCCAGTATTGATGAGTTTATTGGATAAAACTGCCTCCGAGACTGATAGTCCCACTCTACCAAACTTAGATCCTTGATTGCTTATGTAATGAATAGAGCGACCATGAAGAGATATCAATCCACCAAACTTGGGTTCTTGCTGCACTAATGTTCCTCTCGCGGAGCAAAAGTCTCGTAAAACATCATGAATGCGGCATGCTTTGACTCCACCATAAGAACTTCTTTTGGCAATCATTACAAGGCTTCTGTCAATGAGCTCATCCAAGTAACTCTTTGCCTTTTCCTCTAAACTTTTCAGGTCAAGATTATTTCCAAGCACAAATTCTTTAGAAATCCATAGGCGTATCAAATGCGATACAGGGATCGCAGTGTCCTCTACAAATGTTCCAAAATGAAGGAAGCATGACCTCAAGCAATCTGGCAAATGCATGTAACTAAGTTCTAGTATGTTGGTGAATTCCACAACTTTGTCCCGTTGCTGTCCGTGTTTGACACTTAATCCATTCACCTCTTCAGCAACCAGTTCCCAAGATTCTTTGCTTCTTTCTTTGCTTTTCAGAATTCCAGACATCACAGTAATTAGAAGAGGCAGCCCTTTGCAATGCTTGGCAATACGCTTTGAGACTATCAGCAGTTTAGGTGGGCAAGTCTCGCGACCAAATACCTTGGACCATAATAATTCACAACTTTCTTTGTCGGAAAGTAGGCGTAGAGCATAAGGAATGCTGTGAGCTCTTGAGGCGACATGACGATGTGGAGTAGTGAATAAGATTCTACTCCCAGTGTGATCGTCAGGGAAGATATTCTTCAAATCGTACCATACATCTGCATCCCATATATCATCTATCACGATTAGGTACTTCCTGCCCTTCAAACTTTGGTAAAGTTTCTGAGCACAATGTTCTCCTCTATCCTCCTCATTGCTTGAACTGGTTTTCCGTCCCACAATTTGGCTTAATATGTCGGCCAATAAAGTTTCTCTTTCATAGACTTGAGAAACACAGCACCAAGCGCGAACATGAAACTGAAAACTGATTGAAGGATGTTTGTACACCGAATTCGCCAGAGTAGTCTTGCCGAGTCCAGGCATACCAACAATGGAGACAAGATTCAGCTGAGGCGCTCTTTGAGTTAGAATCTGAATGGCTTCACTAGCTGAATCCTTTAACCCCACAATATCATCACTACCGGCATCCCCAATTAAATTTGGGTTTTCCGCAGGAGGACTTTGTGCTGTTGATGAACCAAGATTCATCGTTGAAGGTTGATGTAGGTTGATGAACCAATTTGTTGATGAAGGTTTTATTTCTTCTTTGACTTTGAGGATGTATTTTATCTCCTTGCCGGCCGCTCTAATGTCATTGGTGACAATGAACATTCCCAACATGTGATACCATAGTGAACCCTTTCCAGCAGAAAATGAATCAATGATCAGACTGCAATTACGAGCTGCTTCTTTGACTTGTGCTATAAGAAGTTCCATCTGTGATTTTCCCAACTCATTGCCAACAATCTCATGTATTAGGCATCCTCTGATTGATGTCATTTCATGATAGAATGCTTCCATCTGAGTTCTCAATGGAGTAATTGAAGGCGCATCATGAACAATCAGATCCTGAAGATGCTTATGGAGGGAATCAACAGATTCTTCCATGTGGTTGTCGCTGAATGTTTCCTTCTTCGCCGAAGACGACAGAGAAAAAAGCTTACAATTGCGGAACAAGTCAGTTGCCTGTTTCTTGAGAGAGCCAACGGATTCAAGGAAATCATGAAAGCCACAATAGCTCGAATGAGCTGCTTCTTCCTCCGATGATGAATCATATGCATCCTGTTGTTTCTCACCATAGAAACCAGAGTAAATTCGGGATGCTGTTTCGAAGAGTAGAGCCAAAGTTGAAACAGAAAGAGATTCCATTTCCCTGACAGCAGAAACCTCCTCTTGCGTGTACGATTCCAATACAACCAAGAGATTGTTCCTTAAGAACCTCAGCTCCTCAATTGTGGCATCAATCGGATCTTTGTTATCTCCGACCATATAAATTGGGCTCCCCTGCATCCTCAGTGCATCGATAAGCCAATTGAAGAACCCGGCAACTTCTCCATCGATGATTCTAGAGGGAGTCTCATTATATTGCAGACGATCCAGTAATCTCCAGCCAAAAGAATAGCATTTGACAGCATCATGGATTCTGCCTATAACACTCTCGAGTAAAGATCGTTCCACTTTAACATCATCCTCCTCTGTTTCATCATCCACAACACGGCCGAGGTAACAAAAGAAAAGTTCCGAGAGTTGAATAACCAACAATTCAATTACATATTCATCGGAATAACCCATTGGATGCTTAAAGAAACAAGACCGATGTATGCAAAAGAAATTTATGAGAAATCCCACCTTGTGAAGGGCGTATAAAATCATTCCCTTCTCAAAGATATATGAAATATTCTCCGAATCTTCCTTCCCCGGGTACTCTTGATTGTAAATTGATTGAAGAATCTGGAAGCAAGAGATAAATGAACTTAGCAGGAGTTTTCGGCTGCGGCTTTCTCCATATCGCCTCAGTGACTCAGGCGAACCACTTTTCTTTACAATCAAATGAATCCAGGAAAAGTTCACCTGTGTCCAGAGATATGTAAAAATTTTCTTGATATCTTGGACTATACTTTTCAAGAATTTCGAGTCGGTTAGCTGCTTCAAGTCTTGTTGATCAATCAGGTTTTGGAGCTTATCGTCCACCCGTTTCAAGCTTTGTTGCAAATATTTATCAACAACGTCAGATTCCAACAAAACCCTGACTGAGGGCCTCAAATGTTCTCAACCACTTCCAGATTCACATGCCTAACTTGTTCTGTACGAGGATGTTGCGGCAAGGAATCCATTCTTTCTCTGGCCCTGATTACAAAATCAGCTATCATTATTCCAACCCAATCCAAAAAGTCCATTGACCTGCAACTTTGATCACTAGCTTTCTTTCTTGCTTCTCCCAGAATTGGAAATGGAGTCAACTCCAAAATCTAAAGCCATGTTCTTTCTCTACTAGTCGTCTCAGTTTATTATCGTTAATTTGCTAGTAGACATTTTTCAATTGGAAAAATGAGTGTTCTTCATAAACTAATTGCCATTTGCAGTGGCACTGTGGCATCCATCAGCGTTTGCCAACTACTACTAATTTATTTAGCTCTGTCAATTGGATCCAGATGAGCAAAATAAGCTGAATTTTTTTTTTCCTTTTCCTTTTTTCCAAAGGTTCTTTACTCTTGAAAAACTTTAAAAAAGAGAAAAGGAAAAAAGAAAAAAAGAAAAAAAAAAAGGGGATAGAGTGTTGACTGTCGGGTTTCATCTTTTATTTTATTTTATTTATTTATCCTTATCTGAGTAGCCACATTTTAGTAGTTATGGAATAGCGTTAGCGTGCTCCGAAGCTAGACTTAGTCTCATGATTAACTTTATCTATTACGTAGAATATGAGGATTATTAAAACTTTCATGTTCATATACAAGACCCGATGCATTGTTATCTTGGATTATGATACGGTAGTTGACATTTGCAACATTTTATTGGCACATGATATTGTAATTTTTTCTATACAATGTAGAAAAGGTGACCACTTCATTTATTTGCCTCAGGTTTATTTCTCGTTTAGCTTGCGATTAAATGACAAGAAACATCATCACATGTTAGGTTTGCTAATTAGTTCAAACAATTAAATCAAGGAATTATAAATCAGATCACCGGTTTAGTTTCTCTCTTACGGTCTTACCAATTGTCAATTGATGATTCTTTGCATATCTCGTCGAGATTTAAGTTCCGATCTCGTAATTACAGTAATCTTCTTTAGTCCTCGGGGAAGGGAAACGGAAGTAAAGATGTTTTTTATCCCTTTAATTGTCGTAATGCGAGGAGCCGAGGATACCTAAACGTTACTCTTTTGATATATACGATTATGAGTATTAGTAATATGATAGTAGTAATTAGCCAATTTTTGTCCACTAGGCCGCTGAAACAATGATGAATAATTCTCCCCCTTTATCAAGAAGAAAAAAAAAAAGCAAAATGGTTAATTAGTTGATGATCAACTTCAGTTGGTACACAGAAGATCATGAGAAACAAGCTGCCGAGGAGGTGGATCGGGGGTGGGGGGGGTATAGTGTCCTTGTCGAGCGGGATGGTGGCGTCGGTCTTAGACGCAGCAGCAGCAGCTGAATGAGGAGGGGGAGTGTAAATAATCAAACCCCAGACTCCCAAGAAACTGAAAACCCAACAAATCGTGCCCGCATCTCTAATGACGGACTTCTGTAAACGTGATCTGTTTCGAAGGGTCTATGAATCTAAGAATTATTTCATTCCTGTAATACTTGTATAACTTGGGGTTCTTCGAAAGCTCGCAGTAGTGAATGCTTTCCCAAGAGAACCACCCGTATCAATCAGAGAGAAAAGAGAAAAATAAGCATTTCACTAACATTCCTGGGATCTATACAGTATTAAAACAAGTTCAAACATTGCCTACAAATAAAGAAAAGAAAATGTGGGAAACATTCTCACACACACACACACACACACACACACACACACACACACACACACACACGAAACACAACTAAACTTTTTTTTTTAACTGACGAGCCGTCGTAACCACTATTCAAATAAAATTACCTACTTAACACTAATATAGCAAAAAATAGGGTCGATCTCACAGAGAAGGATACCAAGTACCAGGTTAAAATTATTTCTTATTATTATTTAGACAACTAATAATAATAATTTTAAATTCAACTAAACCTAAAACTAATAATTAAATATAATTAATCAAATAAAAGAAAACCTAGGGAAAAGGGTTCACCTACCGACTACTCAGTTTAACTCAACCAATAGATATGTGACTTTGGACTTTCATTAATCTCACAACGATTCACCTATTTAAGAACTATTCACTGTCGTGATATAATTCTCTTACTCAAACTAACCCTATGACTACTGTCGTGACTATAGGATTTAATAAAAACACATTAAGAACTTTAGAATCTCTAGCTGCAAAGGCGGTGTTCTTACTGTCGTGGCTCACTGCCTAAGTTTAATATTCCCATGAACTATTGTTAATCTTCAACCGTCGTTCCTTCAGTTAAACACCTTTTAAGCATGCAAGTGGTGATCAAATACTAACATGGAATAAAAGCAAGAATATTAAATATCAACTAATTAAAAAGTCACAATTATAAATTAAATTAAATTAAATAGTACGGCGACTACATCCAAAATCTTAAATTAAATACTTTAGCTACACATCATCTTAAAAATAAATAAAATAATGAAACCCGGACGAAGTCAGCTGAAAGTTGAGTCGAAGTTGATAAACTGCTGCTTCGTTCCCCCTCCGATGATGTGGAAGGTTGGTGTTTTGGTGCGTGGAAAGTTTGGGGGGCTGATGGTGTGTGGAAGTAGTTTTGGTGATGGGGCGTGGGGTTCAAGGTTTTGGGGCCGGTGGTGCTGGAAGTAGTTTTGGTGATGGGGTGTAGTTTTTGTTGTCGTGTGGAGGGGGTTGAAGGGTTTTCTTTTTGGATGATATTTGGTGTTCTTCTTCTCCCAAAAATAAAATTTTAACCTTCTTTATATATAGGTCTTTCTCTAACCCTATTTCTTGGAGGCTAAAAAAACTTATTTCTTAATTAAAATTGGGATTAAAATTCTTGTCGAAATCCAACTCCAAACAGCCGCACCAACAACTTGTCTCAGCCAAATCATAGGAAGAAAAACAAAAATTGTAATTCAGTCCTCCAAATCTTCAAGTCTTGTGACTTCTTCCTCATTAGTTCTTACAATCTTCATTTAGGCCCTTTTTAGTTGCTCTTTCTTTTCAATTTAGTCCAAAACATCAACAATTCTTCCATTTGAGTACAAAACCTACAAATAAAGATAAAATCATATAAATAGCATATTTGTACTCAAAATATATTGCAAAAATCACAAATTAGGGATATAATAAATAGGCAAAATATAAGCATATCATTAACCAAAAGGACAGACAAAAGGGCAACATTCTTAGTAACGATTCAAAATTCCCAATTGAGTGATCTTCGCAGTAGCAAAGATGTTGCAGCCTCCACAAAACCATCGGCTTTATATATATCAAGCAGCTTATCCGCTTCTAAGTTAGTGCCTCTCCTGAACCTTATTACCGTTTCAGTCCATGATTGTTGAATCTCCTTCATTTGGCTTTTACTCTGTTTCCACCTCAAGTGCATTGGAACAAGTTAAAACACTCATCAGACGTATTTTTCGGTGTTTTTCAGTCACGAAGTCCCATGAACTTGTTATCTCCTTTTGAACGCACAAGCCTTGCTCATAAACATCTCCATGTCTATACCTCTTTTCCACCACTGCAACACGGCAATGTACTCGAGCAGAACTTTTTCTTACCTCTTTTCCCACTACAACACGGTGCGATACACCAGCACAACTTCTTGAGTGAGTAGTGGACGCTGTTGGAGAGACAACAAATCCACTACCGCCAGCTCTTTTAAGCTCAGCCTCTGCCTTAGAAGCAAGACGTAACCCCTTAAGCTGCAAGTCAATCAACAATAATCATTAAGCCAGGGAGACAGACTCAAATGAAATTCAATTAAGAAATGTAAAGCTTGTACTTGCCTCTTCTTCTAGTCTCAAAGTGATACCAGTGAGGTTTTCAATCTCTGATTTAGCATCAATAGCTTGTTGAGGGTCTTGGAGTATTTCAGAGAAAAAGCTAGTCAAACCAGCTGCCTCATCTTTTAGCAGTTCCACTCTATACTCAATAATTGAAAGAGTCCTTCCGCAAAATAGAATGGCTTCATCGGTTCTAGAGGCAAGCTTCAAGCACAAGCATACCCGGAAGTTTATCCAAGCCTACTGTCGGTTGCTAGGTTCAAGTAGAAGCTCGAAGAGGAACAATGCTTTCATAAAATAACAGCGTGTAATTTCAAAGTCTCCTCTAGTGTAAGCAACGTCACCTAAAACTGCCAATATATTTGCGTGTTCTAAGCTATGTTTTGAATTTCGTTGAACAAATCCAAGTTTGTCCAAGCCAAATCCAATTCTGATTCATCCAGAATACAGCAAAAAAAAACTATGATCACTTTTCAAAAGAACTCATCAAAACAATTTGCAAAAGTACAAAATTCCACAACATTCACCTTTCCTCTCTGTAGGGATATCAGAATCTCCTCCTCCTTTTTGAACTTTGTAGATAAGGGCGTAGCTATATTTACAATAGGAGTTGACACACTCCGTCCGGAACCAAAATCCTACCATTCATTGTTCTAGCAGACAAAAATATTATACAATTAGTAAAAGTTTTATTCAAGTCACAAACTTTTACAAACTCATAACCCAGAGAAGTAAAATAATAATAATAATAATAAGCATACCGTGTTTCTAGAGCCTGACGGTAATAATACACCGCGGTGGCATAATCGTCCTTCTCCGCAGCTTCTGTACCACGATGATCCAGATCTTTAAATTTGTCCATCAAGGATTCCGAACCGGACAAGGATTCAACAGCGATGTCGGATCCTGAACTGGAGTGAGTTCGCGTTTCAGCCATCAGTTCCGGTGAGTCGGGTTTCTTTAGATCAGCAACAGCAAGTGATCCAGTCGGGGTTTTTTTAAAAAAAAAATCTGCAAGGCAGAGAGTTCTGGTTTCACTTCACGCCCCTTTTATAGACAAGGAAAAAAAAAAGACCCTGCCCCAACTAGGGGTAAACAGGAGCTCAGAAGGAAGTTCAGTAACTGAGATCAGCTCAAACTCCGGATGAAATTGAAAATCTGATCTCTTCCCGGTCTCCTCGGCAAGGCTTACTTGGATAAGAATTCCAATTCCGATGGCTTCAATTAGGTATTTTTACCATACTTTCTTCTTAATCCTCTGTCATCATCAATCGGTATTGTGTTTGAGAGTAACTTTGATGTGTATTTCAAGTTTTATTGCTTTTAATAAACCGCACGATGGATATTGGTGGATTGTTTGGGAGCAAAAAGCATGGTCACAATTGAAATTCTCCTCAACGGGTATAACAAATTTCTATTCAATCCCACATTTTTTAAAACAAATTTGATTGGCATGGTAATTAAGTTTTCGTTAACTTGCTAGTAGACATTTTTTTATTCGAAGCTGCTTTTGAGTGTTCTTCATAAGATAATTGCCATTAATTTGTAGGGGCAATGTGGCATCCATCAGTGTACGTAGCCAACTCCTACCATTTTGCTCTGTCAATTGGATCCCGATGAGCAACATAAGCTGAATTTTTTCCCCTCTTTTTCCAAAGGTTCTTTTTCTCTTGAAAAACATTAAAAGGAGAAGGGGAAAAAAAAAAGGAAAAAGGAGAGATTGGTGTTCCAGCAGGTATAGAGTGTTAATTGTCGCGTTTAATTTTTGTTTTTAAATAAAATTATTTCTGTATCCTTATCTATAACATAAGATAAAATCTAAATAGCCACATTTCGCTAATTAGAAAACAGTATTAGCGTGCTCCGAAATTGGACTGAGTCTCATGCTTAACTCTATCTATTATGTGGAATATGAGGATTATTGACACTTCCATGTTCAGATACAAGACCCCAAGACCCGATGCATTATTATCTTGGATTATGATATAGTTGACATTTGCAACATTTTATTGGCGCCTGATACTGTAATTTCTATACAATGTAGTAAGAAGCGACCACTTCATTTATTTGCCTCAGGTTTATTTTTCGTTGAGCTTGGAGATTAAATGGCGATAAACCTCACCACATGTTAGATTTGCTAGTTGGTACCAACAATTGAATCAAGCGAATTATAAATCAAATTACGGTTCAATTTCTCTCTTTACCAATTGTCAATTGATGATTCTTTGCATATCATCGAGATTTTTGAATTCGGATCTCGCGATTACAGTAATCGTTTTAGTCCTCGGGGGAAGGGAAGCGGAAGTAAAGACCCTTCAATTGTCGTCATGTGAGAATAACTAAACGTTACTCTTTTGATATATAAGTTACGATGAGTAATATGATAGTAGTAATTAGCTAATTTTTGTCCACTTGGCCGCGGATATGACGATGAATAATTCTGCCCTCCTTATCAAGAATAAAAATCAGCAAAATGGTTAGTTGATGATCAACTTCAGTTAGTACACAGAAGATCATGAGAAACAGCAATGAGTTGAAAACAGATCGATGATATGATGATCAATTTGTAATAGTACCAAAATAATTTGCGTTAAGAAAATTCGAGTTGACAATGGAACGTTAGCTGATCTGCTATATATTCCTTGGTAAATTAAGATCACATTGAACTTCCAAGTGGCTTTCGTAACATTTTTTTGCTACCTCCCGGGCCTGATGTTAATACACAAATTGCACATGCTCGGATACTCCCGTTATTAATGTACATATATATATATATATATATTTTAATAAAAATTTTCCTGCATTAGCTAAAAGAAAAAAAAAAAACAGTCCTTGTTATAGCCTAAAGTGATTATTTTGTTTATTTTACCTTTTTTTTTTAAAAAAAAAATACAAAATTCTTATCCAATTGAGAACACACTGAGAGGATTATAAAAAATAAATTTTACATTTTAAATTAAAATGATATAAAAAAAATACTTTTTTCGTCTTAAAAAAATAATTTACTTTTGTTGAGATAGACAAATAATCGAAAATACTTCTTATAGCTAACGTTCAAACAAAACAGAAGTCTCATAGTCCTACATTTCCCTCAAGCCTCTCATTGCTACCTCGTACTCTCCGCTCGGACGCCTGCATTTCTTGCCCTTAATTTTTATCAAACAGGTCTTGACGACAGCCGAAATGACGTCTGACGAGCAGAGAAAGTCTGGTGAAATTGTTTCGAGCCTTGCTAAGAAACAAAAGGTGAACGACTAAAAAAAAAAACATTCATTGGTTCTCGTTTTTCTTTTCTTTTTTTTTTCATGTGTTACTTAGAGTATTCCTTACGTCCCAAAAAAAATTATTCATTGAATTTAACGTACTATTTTAATCAATAATAGTAGGCTATTTTTTCTGAGACGGGGGAGTATTATTAATTTCTGGAATATATACATTTGTGTCAAATTGCAAATTGCAGATAGGGGAGGAGGCTTCAGAGGAGGAAAAGGATACACTTGCCGAGCAATTGGAAACCGAGAGGCTGCTAAAGAAGAAACAGGAGTTAGTTGCAGCTAGCATCAATCTAGAGTGCCAAATCAAAGATGTGGATGAAGAAGGTCGGAAACTACTGATACAAGTATGATATTCTTTTCTTTTTTTTTTAAGTTCTTTTTTCACAGTGTTTATTTCGATCAAAATAATGTCTTGTTCTAAGAAATTAATTATTTCCAATAGATATGGGGTAAATTACGTAAAAGAAATATCGTTTTACAATATTATGTGGTGTACTTTTCCATTCTTTTGCTACAAAATTTATGATATAATAATGTATACTCATTATTATTACTATATCTGTCCTAAAAAAAATAGTCCAATTTGAAAAACTAAAATATAATAATTAGATCTTGTAAATTGAAAAATTAATATGAAAAAATGAATAGAGTTTCATAACTATTTATCAATTTAATAATAAATTTTAGATTATACCGATCTTGTAAGTCCAATTTTAATATTTACGAGAATTGAAGTATTTTCTAGGACGGAGGGATATTAACCTTTTCGACCTTCTGCAAATTGAATCCGATATGATCTTTATTTTCAGGCCTTTAGTGAAATACCAAAGTTGATAAATAATCCTCTTCAAATAGGGATTAAAAACATGGGTGACATTGATCCAAAGACTTTTGAAGAACAATGCAAGCTGAAATTCCCTGATGATTATGAAGTTAAGGCCAGAGAGATGTACAGCCTTTGGGAAGAAAGATTAAGGAATCCTGATTGGCGTCCTTTTAAAGTTATCACGACCATTGACCACAAGAATATGGTATATAAATTTCCTTTTCTTTCTTTATTTCGCTCGATCTTCTTAGCCTATGTCAACTATGGAAAGTGTTTTTTTCCTTTTTTTTTTTGTTTGGCTAAGGAATACATCATAGGATATATTTTTCTTTTCAGACAGAAGTGGACGAGGATGATGAATTACTGAGGGAGCTTAAGCTGGAATGGGGGGATAAAATTTACACCGCCATAATCAGAACCTTAAAAGAGATGGATGAATACAACCCAAGTGGGAGATTTCCGGTGCCGGAGCTCTGGAACTTTAAAGAAGATCGAATTGCTACTTCAAGGGAGGGCGCCGACATCGTTTCTTGTACCGTGGGAAGTAATTAACTGTTCTAAGCTGGAATAACAAGGTTTTAGTTAAGCAAACCTTTTTTCTCAAAAACTTGTGTTTTTTCTCTCCTTGCGGATGTTTGAACATTATTAGTTCATTGTCTTGAACGTATGGCTAATGATTGTTTTTCAAGGACAAAGTGATGTGACCATTATGGCATTATTATTATTGCTAAAAAAACTTGAACTTCATTTGGTTTTCAGTCCTGTATTACCGACCTTTTTTTACTTTTTCCGCTATCACCAAAAATCACCCTTTTTCGAATTTTGGTGAGGAACAAAAAAAAAAATTGTTGAAGGATGGATAACATTTATGCAAACGTAAAAGACAATTCAACATGTATGAAAAGCTTCTGAATGTACATCGCTGTTAACATGTTTTACCTGGTTTTGGCCATTCCACTATTCATACCTTTGGTCACTCTACTATTCTTCAACTATTTTTGGTTACTTCTATTTTTCTTTATTATTTTTTGGTGAAAAACTCGTTTTACCTGTGTCTTGAAACATGTGTTCCACTTTCATCTTTTCACTGACCAAATGTTTTGTGGGGGAAAAGAGAACAATATTCTTCTTCAAGAGATCTTCTCATGTTTCCATCTTTGTTTGCTGATTCAAAGAGGCGCATAAATTGTAGGAGTGACATTTGATTTCGTCCTTTGCATAATTCGTGCGTAGAGGCACGGACATTCTCCGAAACCTCTTCCACTATGGATTGCATTCACCACGAAGCAAATTCTTAACTGCAAATGTTATCAAAATGGTCCTGTTCCGCGCTCATACAATCCTTACTTCATGTACAATTGCACTCATAGAGTTTGTCCATATTCTCAAACATTTCAGCATCATCCTTGAAGTTATTTGGTTTGAAGGCCTCTCTTAATACCTGACTTTTTTCTTTTTTTTTTTGCTCCACATTCATAAAAAATCACACTTATTAAAAATTTTGTTTTTCTTGCAATCTCATCCTTCTAGTACCCTTTGAAATTTTCATTTATATATAGATTCACTAGTAAAGGAACGGATTGCAATGCTATAGCATTATATTACTGAAACTAAGGAGATCATATCCATCAAAATGTTGAGTAATGGATTTATGAGATTCATTCCCAATTTCGCGGTCTCAACCCATTCGAATTCCATAAACAAAGCAACTCAATTCAAGTGATCAATTGACTATCAAAAAGAAGTCTATATGTTTCCGTCATACTATAATGGAAACAAGTAATTCTCTGCAAGAAGAAACCGTCTGGATTAAACATTTTCTGTACATAACATGTGTTTTCAAGTCGGACTTATGTGCAATATTCGTTGCATTTTGACACACACAATAAGTTCAAAATAACCTTAACAAAATGATACTCCAATGAATAATGGTAATATGTCTCTAGTCTGCTTAAAAATTGTAGTAGTATGTACTGGTAGAAATGTTGCATATAGACACAACGTAAATAACGACTGACTACATAGAATGGACTATTTTCATGCTTCCCTAACTATTTGTAATCTGATTCACTTAATTTGAGATTTGATTTATCGCCGTTATCATTCAAAGAAGATCATATTACATCTTGTAATTAATTAATTAATTAATGCCCGAAACATCATCAAATTTGACCATTGGTTCAACATCTTTGACCCCACAAAAAGCCAAAAGAGGAGGTCTGTTGTACTTACTCCACTGATCTTGGGTGTTTTTTTTTTTTTTTTGGGGGCAATCAAGGCCAAAGCTGCCAAGTACTAAAATCTTTCTTTCCTCAAGTCTCTGTCACACATTTTCACAAACATTTCTTGAACCATCCATTTCTCCAGTCTCCCAACCATGGCCGCAGCAGAACCCATCATCAAGTTTGGCATTATCGGCTGTGCCGATATTGCCCGGAAAGTTTCCCGGGCCATAAGACTGTCTCCACTCTCCACTCTCTACGCCGTCGGCAGCCGTTCCGTGGAGAAAGCCGCCAAATTCGCCAAAGACAACGGCTTCCCTGAATCGGCCAAAGTGTACGGCAGCTATGAAGCCGTTCTGGATGACCCGGATATAGACGCTGTTTATGTCCCTTTGCCCACCAGCTTACACATCAAATGGGCTGTTTTGGCTGCCCAGAAGAAGAAACATCTCCTTTTGGAGAAACCGGTGGCCCTCAATGTGAAGGAGCTGGATGTTATTCTTGAGGCTTGTCGTTCTAATGGGGTCCAATTCATGGATGCTACTATGTGGATGCATCATCCTCGTACTGCTAAGATGAAAGAGTTCCTCAATGATCCTGAGAATTTCGGTCAACTTAAATCGGTAATTAATTGTTCTTTTTTTTAAATCCAGTTCACGTGCACAAATTGTTTATTTGCCGAATTATCAACGGTGAGATCAGTGTTTCCCCTGTTGCAATTGAATATTGGTTGATCGAATTCCTACTTATTGATCGTGGTGTTTCTGAATCACTCTGTGGTAGCCATCTTTCTTGATTTGATGAAAAAAAGTGAATCTCTTTTTAAGGCTCAAGCTTAAAAATTTGTGTCTGAAGATTTTAGGCTATGTTATCTGATGCTCATAAGATAAGTGTGAACCATTAAGTAGAGTAACTAAGTGGATCTATCAGTCTTTTACTAGCGGCTTCATCTAATGCATTCGTGTTGATTGACTAATCATTCTATCTCCAATGTCGAAAAAGGTCTTAAATTGACGTTTGCTTTTCTTTTTTGGTGTAGTTAGGATCTTTCAATCATAGGGCATGATGATAGAATTTCTCTTAGCATACAGTCTATCTTGATGGAGTTTTCTTTGCAAGGATAAAAAGAGAGTGAATCCTTAGGGAATGGTGCATACTTCTATGCGCGCGTAAAAAGAGTTAGCAACAGAGTTGTTACATTCTGCCTTTGATTGGAAAGGTGTGTTATTAGATCTTGTTAGTTAGGACACGATTGGAAAGCTAATTAGTGTTGGTTCATTTGGTAAACTCTTGCAGATATACAGTTTGTTTACATTTGCAGCTGATGATATTTTTCTGGAAGGCGACATTCGGGTGAAACCTGATTTGGATGCTCTTGGTGCTTTAGGTGATGTTGGCTGGTACTGCATTAGAGCAATCCTATTCACAGCCGATTTTGAGCTGCCCAAATTTGTAATTGCGTCGCGCAACCCTGTTTTAAACAAAGTAGGGGTAATCCTTTCTTGTGGAGCATCTCTGTATTGGGAAGACGGCAAGGTGGCTACTTTCTTCTGCTCGTTTCTAGCCAACTTGACCATGGAAATCACTGCAGTTGGAACAAAAGGTACTTTACGCCTTGCTGACTTTGTTATCCCCTTTGAGGAGGGCAAGGCTTCATTTAGTGGTGGTGTAAAGTCATGGTTTGATGACCTTGTCACCGGATGGGTTCCCAAGCCGAGCGAGCATATTGTCACGACCGATCTTCCCCAAGAAGCTCAAATGGTGAAGGAGTTTTCTAGGTTGGTTGGAAGTATCAAATCCGGGGGCTCTGAACCAGAGATGAAATGGCCAACCATTAGCAGGAAAACACAGCTAGTTATTGATGCAGTAAAGACATCCATTGACAAGGGCTTCGAATCTGTTGAAGTTATTAGTTAGGACTTAGAATGCACTTGATTTCTGGCCTATTTGGCAGTCATCCCTGAACAATAAGAAGTTGATTGGAAGAAATCTTATGGCACATGTAATCCCTGTTTCCAAAACATGATTGTGAGTTTCGTTTGGATTTCTTCTTTTTTCCCTTTGTGCTTTGATTCATGTGTAAATTTCCAGTCTTTTGTATACGTTAACAGTTGAACCAGCTGCCGTATGCAACTAGGAAAATGATATGTATAATGAAAAGAAATAGTGAAAAACGATAGTGAGTGATGTAAAGTATTCTTAGCTTCTTGTTTTTTGTCACTTTCTAGTTAAAATTTTATCTTTGCCTGGAAAATTATATTTTTACCCTTAATTAATAAGTATACATATTTAGCGAGGATAGTGTATTTGTTTTTTCATTAATCCCTATTTCATTTCATTATAATTTGTCACTGTCTTTATCATTGCTCATGCAATTATGCAGTAGTCTCTCTGACCCTTAATAGTCCGTTTGTGGTACTATATCAATTCAGAAAGTTGAACAATTAAAGTAAAACCGAATAAATGTTAAAAAACCATTAATTAGTTGAGAGATTTTCAAGCACCAAGATTGACCAAAATTCTAAGTCACATCGATCATTTGGGTTTCCAGTTTAAAATTTAAAAAGAAATTATAGTTTTGCCGTTACTAAATACTCCCTTTTGAAAAGGAGAAAAAAAAAGAAAAAAGAAAGAAAACTCCATTTGTCCTCAAAAAATAGTCCAGATAGAGGGAGTAGAAAATGTCGCTTTGTGGCAATTTGGCATTTCTGGCTTGCACTCATGAGATCGACTTGTTACCAAATCATATGAAATTTCAGCTGAAAAAGAACGGTTGATCAATGGGAGGCTGACAATTTGTTTAATCAAATGGCCTGTGTCATATAAGGGCGACGTTTTTTAATACTCCTTCCGTCCCATAATCATTATCTAGTTTGAGTTTTTATTTCTAATTCATAGTGTACTAAAAGTAAAATGCCAAAATGAACAATAATTATGAGACAGAGGGAATCTTACATATATATAAAAAGAATTTTTCTCCTAATACACGTGTCGCTTCATTAGGATCTCTATTGGTTTTAGAGTAAATTTATATTGTCAAACGGTTAAGGTTTTCAAATTACATTTCTCATTAATTTATTTTTTTTAAACCTCCGATAAATATCACATTGCATATGAATAATATGAAAATATCGAGATAGAATTTTTCACGGCAACAGTTCGAATTCAATTCAGCAACTATGTCCGCCGGCCGATGCCCCAGCAAATGAAAAATCGCCGGCAATTTCTCCGGATTAGTTATAATTTTCAATCCTTCTTTAACAGCTATTGGATTTGATTTCTGAAAAAACTCCGACATATTGATGATAATCGGAGCTGCACAAATCCGTCTATTGTTGTCAGTACTGTCGCTATCGCTGTTTGCGCTGCCGCCTACTTTTCCATCTTTTCATCGCCTACTTTTTCAATCCCAACGATGAAGACTTAAATGCGTTGGGATTGGGATACCAACCGGAATAACTCTCCGTCAAAGAGAACGTCACCTTTTCAGTTCGCTCCTGTGTCACGGGCTTACTTTTTCAAGGTAACGGCCATGCGGCACTAGCACTAAAACCACCAACGATGAACGTGCTAGTTCAGCCTTGGCCCCTTAAACATGCTAGTTCAGCCTTGGCCCCTTAAACGTGCAAAGCTCTGCAAGAGAACTTAAGAACGTAGGCAAATGAAAGCTTAAGAAAGCTTGGAAATGAAAGAACGATGTATGCACAAAAGAGCTTAAGGAATGCTTGAGAATTCTTACTCAAAGCTTGGATGATTGCAAATGAGGGGGCATGGGGTATTTATAGCCTAAGTCCCCAATTCTAAAGAATTCTATACAATGCTTAAAATATTAGAATTCTAGAGAATTCCTACAATAGAATATTCTAAGTCCATAAATATCTACAAGTGTGTAGAATCCTCCAAACCATTCTAGCAAACTTGGGAAGTTTCCACACGGTTCCACACGTTTCTAGCAAGCTCCGGATCTCTCTAGAAAATTCTAGATTCTTCAAGACTTGACCAGAGAATTCCACAAGTCTCTAGAACGTTCCGTCCCACGTCTGTCTACGGAAACGGCCCGATTTTGTAGCAAACAACCCGAAAGAGCGGGAAAGAAAAACCGTCCGTGACATCCTCCCCCACCAAAATGGTGCATCGCCCCGATGCACGCTATGTCTCAAAGGAACTGTTGACGGGAACGGGTGCACGATGCTCCTCAAAGTCCTCGATCAACTTGGTGAATTGCCAAAGCTTCTCGACCGGCTCCCAACTCTTCTCGCTAGGCACGATGATCAGCTTCACCTGGTCTAAAAACTCCATGCCAAACACAAGACCGTATAGGTGCAATGGAGAAATTAGCTGTACCCGACCAGTTGCCAATTTTAAGAGGTACATCCCTTGCTTCGCCCACAAGACCCATCCATTCACCATTCACGCCCTTGAAACGGTCTTTGTTAGGCATCCATGTGACTCCAAGCGAATGGGCTACTTCCTCCGTGAGATAACTCGTGTCGGCCCCCATGTCTAGCATGCCCCATCTAGACCTGTTTGTGAATGACGTCTCAATGTAAAGACATCCTTGGCGAGTCCCGGCTTAGCATGCACGGCGTCTAGCCATTTCATGCAAGCTGCCCGTTTCTCCTCTTCTTGGCACAACCCTTGTACCAATACTGCCAACTTCGAAGGGGAAGGGCAATCCCATGCCATGTGCCACCTCTTCGGCTTGTCCCCCTTGGTCTCCTTGTTCGAAGAATGCTTTGATGTGTCGGCCGCCAGCTTAGTGGGTGTGGAAGACTTCCCCTTGTCTCCCCCACCTTTGCCTTGGAACGGCTTCTTGCCCTTGTCCTTGGAGCTATCCTTCTTTTAGAACTCTACAAGCGACTCGGCCATCTTTAACGCCCGATCAATGTCTTGGGCTTCCCTCCATTGTAGCTCAAGCTTAGCCCAACGGTTGAGACCATCCATGAAAGTAAAGAATGCCTCATTGGGTGATAGATTCGGAATTTCAAGCATCAAATCAGAAAACTCCTTAACGTATTCCCGGATTTGGCCTTCCCTATGGTGCAAACGACGAAGTTTGGCCCGGGCTTCGTCCTCCGCATCCACAGGTAGGAAATATATCCTAAACTCTTCCTTAAAACCATCCCACGTGATAAAGACTGGGTCTCCATCTCCTACGGGTTTCATCGTGCGTTTCCACTAACTCAAAGCACTATCTTTCAAATAAAGAGAGGTTTGGAAGAGTCTTACCGAGTCATCAATGATATTCATAGCCCCAAAGTGCCATTCCATGCTACAGAGAAAGATTTCTACGTTCCTTAAACGATGGCTACCCTTATACTCGTCCGGCTTGGGCGTTTTAAGCCTTGGAACCGTCCCCATGGCCCCGGTTGTCCCTTGCACGGCCATGGCATCAAGCCGTGCCTTAAGGCGCGCCGTTTCTGCCCGAGAAGCATCCAACTCACCCATGAGTCGGCTAATATCGTCTTGGAGGGCGGCAACACGAGCGAGGCTTTCCTCCTTTGACTTGTTGTAACGTTCCACCATCTCGTTGAGCGTCCCAAGCATGTCGTCCTTCATTTGCTGTATGACCTCTTGCAATTCCCCCACGAATCGCTCCATGCGAGCCACGACGACCCCCGCCACCGTGTCGGGGTGCTCATCCCAATGGTCCTGATGGTCGGCCATAGCAAGCTCAACCTTGGCAAGCCGTTTCTCGAGTTCCACCATCGGCTCCCTAATGACCGACTTCTCTTTGCGGCTTCCCCTACGAGGGGCCCTCTCCATCTCGGGGAAAACATGATCCCCCTCAAGCTCCAACCCTTAGACAACCTCCGAATAGCTGGACATAGCTTATGCACGAAAGTAAACCAACAAGCGGAAGCGTAGACGATGTAGAGAACCAAGTATCGAGCCGAAGCTCTGATACCAACTGTCACGGGCTTACTTTTTCAAAGTAATGGTCGTGCGGCACTAGCACTAAAACCACCAACGATGAATGTGCTAGCTGAGACTTGACCCCTTAAACGTGCAAAGCTATGCAAGAGAACTTTAGAACGTAGGCAAATGAAAGTTTAAGAAAGCTTGGAAATGAAAGAACGATGTAGGCACAAGAGACTTAAGGAATGCTTGAGAATTCTTACTGAGAGCTTGGATGCTTACAAATGAGGGGGTATGGGGTATTTATAGGCTAAGTTCCCAATTCTAAAGAATTCTAGAGAATTCTATACAATGCTTAAAATATTGGAATTCTAGAGAATTCGTACAATAGAATTTTCTAAGTCCACAAATATCTATAAGTTTGTAGAATCCTCCAATCCGTTCTAGCAAACTTGGGAAGTTTCCACACGGTTCCACACGTTTCTAGCAAGCTCTGTGTTTCTCTAGAGAATTCTAGAGTTTTCAAGATTTGACCGGAGAATTCCACGTCCGTCTACGGAAACAGCCCGATTTTGTAGCAACCCACCCGAAAGAGCGGGAAAGAAAAATCATCCGTGACACCTGGCACAATCGGCGGCAGAGTCTCCACCAAGATAATTGTTGCCAAGTCCACCTTTAGTATCCCAGGAACGCCGGCCGTCAGTCCAAAGGTAGAAAGAATGAAGAAGGCCCGTTATCTTTTCATCGAAGCCTGTTTTTTTCATATTTGATAGTAGCAGGCGGCGGCTTGAAAACAAATAATAGAAACCCTAAATGAGTTTTTTTTTTTTTCTATTTGCACTGGCAACTTTTATAAATTAATAAAACTGTAAAAGAGTAATTATACACAATGATTTTAATCCCTGTGATTAACATACACAATGGTTTTGATAACTTTAAATTTTTTTTATCCCAAAACATGACCACAAATAAATTTTGAATAGAAATCATATTTTGTAAATATTATCTTCATCGAATATAATTATATACAAAGAAAATATATTTATCTGGTCAAACATTCATTTTACATCGAAGTTCATCCCCAGTTTTTCTCATTTAATAACCACAAAAAAGAGAAAAAAAAAATCAACAAAAGTCATTATCACCTACAAGTAATGGTGTATGTATCTACTTCTTATTCAACTAGAATAAAAAAAACACTTTCATCCAAAAAAAAAAAGTTATTATCACCCTGCCGATTATATATTTTTAATTTTCAATTAATACTGAATGTTAATCCTAATCCATATCATGCGCCGCTCCTCTACCATATATCCTGAACAGGGTTCACTATATAATTTGCCCTATCGTTAAACCCTAATTGAATGAATTATAAATACTATAAATCGATACCATTTTCGGCCAAACAAGACAAATAAGCCGCTCAAATGCTTCCTATATCTTGACGGATTTTCTGCCAATAATCTTCACGATGGTTGCCGCCTATTGTCGTTCGCCTTCACATTTATCCCTGGAATGAGTGGTTGAATTATTTATTTAGTTTTCTCATTTCGGCAATTGATTTATTGGAATTTCAATGGTTTTTAATTTTTTTTTTTTTGTTTTGTGGTGATCATCGCAGAAATCTATTGATGAAATTGATCATTTTCTGAGGTGCCCGCGGGTGCAGAGGGTGGAGATTATAATGGTGAGTATCGTGTTCATGTTGTTGAACCATTATGATTATAACGTTGATGTTGCGAAGCAATGGAGAGAATGGTACCGGGACCTCCTCCATGAACTACCCAGTTTCTCCTCTAATCCGGCTCACTTTTGGAAACCAAAAAATTCGAAATGGTAGATTGAGGAGTTTGAATTTTTGTGGATAAGATTTGGATATTGATCAGATGTCTTGAATAAATTAATGTTTACGTTGGAATGTCTTTTGATATGTCCTTGCACTAAGTTAGATCGTGGCCTCTATGGATTTCGATCATTCAGTTACCAATTTGGATTTTTTTTTAGTTTCATTCTTTGCTTCTAATCATTAGTTTTTTTTTCCTGGGGTTGGGTCGTTTATTACATCTGACATTATTTTTTGTTATGCTCTCTGATGTTCTCCTTATCAGATTTAGAGAGATTATAAGGTATAAACAAAGATTAGTGAGTTAACTTCCTAAGAGATTCTGTATCGGTGATGCTTTTCAAATGCTTGCTCCAATCACTACAGTGAAGGAGTTAGTTTTTGGCATGTATTTGGTATAGGGGAATGGATTGAAAAAGTTTATGCTGCATATGAATATCACAAAGTTGATGATGTGGCAAGGTTCTATCTCATTCGATTTTTTACATACGCAATTAGACTTGATTTGTAGATAATTTTGATGTTACACCTTAGGTTGCAGAGGTCTGCAAGTTAATTTGAACCAAGGAGAGCTGCTGCATATAATTTAAATTTCAGCAGCTGTAGTTAATTTTTGAAGCATTAGTTGTTGCCTACAATATAATTAGCCACCAAGCGCGAGCATGTGTCAAGAATGATCCCCTACAGGCAACTGTGAGTGATTGTTTACTTACCTCAGGGTAACTAACATCAGTGATAGGAAGGGAACATTCAATATTTTTCACTCCTAATGTAGCACGTTCGCTGAGATTTCAAATGGGGATACACTTGTAAAAGCAAGAAATGTACCATACGTGCTCAGTCACACGCTAAGTGTCGACGATTTCACGTTTGAGTAGGTGAAAACTTCGTCTTCTTTCTTTTGATGTTCAAACTTTGAACGTTCGCCATGGTGGGCAGAAAAAGAAAGGGGAGAGTGAAAATCACCACTGGTAACAAGGAATCACGTCTTGAAGGGGAGAATTTTGTGGGTTCTGATGGTGTGAAGGAAAAAAAGGAATTGGAGAAGTCGATTAGGGTTCAGCAAGAAGAGGAACTGGAGAGGTTGGATATGGAGATCGAGACTGCCTCATCTGGGGCTTCTTTGAAGAGATCGGTAAACAAGGAGATGTTTACACCGGAGGAAGGATGGGTTGTTTAAATAAGGGGAACGTTGCTCACCTCTCTGATGGGGTTTTTAGTGGGAAAATTCTAGTTGCACAGGAAGTAAGAGGGAAGGAAAAGCATGCTAAGAGGCAACTCAACTGGGATGAGAACAGAAGGATAGTAGACGGAGCTGCAATCTGGGATGGATCTGGTGCTGAGAAATTAAAAGCTCCGATTGGTAAGCTGAAGCTCACTCCTCTATGTTAGAGAGATGGGCAAGTGGTGGCTAAAATTCGACTGGAAGATGTCCAGGCTGAAGAAGAATTTTGAGAAAACGCCGATGCTTGCTTCGTTCTGGGAGCGAATCCCCTAGAATGGGTAATGGAAGATTTCTTCAAGAGAGCATGGGGGCGACTGGGAATTGAACAGGTAATCCAATTGCCCTATGGTATTTCGTTGTGAGATTTAAGACTGCTGGGGCTAGGGATGAAGTTTTTAATATTAATATTAGGCATTTTGGTAATAAGCCTTTAAGTGTCAAACCATGGAGTGTAGGGATGGGGTTGAATTTCAGGGATGTGGATAAGGTACCAGTTTGGATTCAATTGCATGGATTAGAACTAAAATACTGGAACTTAGAAAGCTTAGGTAGGTTGGCTAGTACACTAGGCTACCCTATTCAAGCTGATGAGTATACAATTACCAAAAGTAGGGTACAATATGCTAGGATCTTGGTTGAAATGGTGATATCTGAAAATGTGCCTGATCGAATAGTCTTTGAAGATGAAATAGGTAATATTAAGGTCCAGAATGTGGTGTATGAATGGACCCCAACCCAATGTATGAGCTGTCATGGTTATGGTCATAAAACAGCAAGTTGTAGATTGAAGAAGAAGGTTGAGATAGCTAAACCTAAAACTCCGAGTTCGGAATGGAAGAGAGTTGTAAAAGGAAAGGAGGTAAGGGAAGAAGATGGTGAGAAAGGGTTAGAGATTGCTCAAGGTTCAAGCCAACCTGGGAAGGAAATGGGAAAGGAGCTAAGCAGTAAAGAAGGGAACAAAATGGGGGATAGCACTCTGAGAGATAAAGGAGCTATTTCTAGTGTTGCAGATAATCAGGTTGTAACTGTTAGGTGTTCTTCCTTTGAGAACCTTAATAAAGTTACTAGTGAACCCGACACTGGGAATAACTCTGACATAAGTTGTGGGAAGGATAAAGGCATCTTGATTGATCCTAGACCTGTTTCCAAGGAGTAGAATCCTGGTATGAATATTAGGGGTTTAAACTCTCCCCTGAAACAAAGAGAGTTGCAAAGGAGAGTGAATCAGGGTCAATACAGTACTATTGGATTGGTGGAGATGAAACTGGTGCAAAGAAGAGGGGAAGAGTATCTGAAACGATTCTGGCAGGGGTAAACTGGTAAACAAACTACAATTCGAATGATAGAGGAAGAATTATATTATTATGGGACAATAGTGTGGAGGTTTTGAAGATTGGGAAAACTGAACGGTATGTACATTGTATCTGTTTTGTGGAATAAGGATAGATAACAATTCCATTTCACCTGCATCTATGCTTCCAATGATGCTAGTGAAAAGAATAAGTTATGGGAGGAGATGATTATACTATCTCAGCAGGTCCAGGGCCCCTGGGTTTGGATGGGGGATGTACTACATCCCGAAGAGAAGATGGAGGAAAACCTGTGGAGTTAAAGGAGTTTGAAAGCTTTCAATATTGTTTGGATGCATGTGGAGTAAGTGACCTTCGGCATACAGGGAAGTTCTTCACTTGGTGCAATCAGAGGATCGGGACTGAAAGTGTGTATTCAAGAATCGATAGAGTATTAGTAAATGGGGAATGGGTTGACTTGTATAGTGACTCAATTGTTTCAGTATTGGTGGAAAATATCTCAGATCATTCGCCTCTTGTGTTGCAATTTGAAGGGGAAATGCAGAAGAAACCGAGTCCGTTTCGATATTTTAACATGTGGAGTGTATCTCCACAGTTTAAGGATATCGTTAAGAAGATTTGGGAAACAAAGGTTGCAGGGATTAAAATGTTCCAGGTTTGTTCTAAATTGAGGTTATTAAAAGGTCCATTACGAATGTTGAATAAAGAACAGTTTGGGGATGTGGTGGAGGAAGCACAGAAGAAACAGTTGATATTGGAAGCTAAACAAGAAGCATTGTGTAGGGATCCTAGCAATGTGAAGCTGCAATTGGAGGAAAGGAATGCCTACTGCGAATATATAAAGCAAAGGAAAGCTGCTAATAGTTTCCTATAGCAAAAAGCTAAGGAACGGTAGATGGAGGAGGGAGATGCAAATACTAAATTTTTCCACTCAGTTTTGAAAGTTAGACGAATGAAGAATAGAATCTGGTCAGTCACTGAGAATGATGGCACTGAATATACTGAATGGGAGGAAATTCAGAAACATTTTTTGGATTTCTACCAGAATCTGCTAGGGAAGTCTTCAGTGCGAAAGAAAGAAGTCCAAGACTGGGATCTTTCAAGCTGGCCAGGTGTTGAACAGTGATCAACAACTAAAACTGATAAGACCTATCAGCCGAGAAGAAGTAAAGGAAGCAATTTGGGGTATGAATTCGTGCAAGAGCCCAGGACCTGACGGATTTGGTGCTGGTTTTTACAAAGCTGCATGGGAAGTGGTTGGAAAGACGTGACGGATGTGGTGGGAAAGACCTTAGCTTTAATTCCGAAAATAGAAAACCCACTGAATGCCAATTATTTTAGGCCTATAGCGTGTTGCAATGTTATTTACAAATGTATCTCTAAGATTCTGTGTAATAGACTGAAAGTAGTATTGCCATGCTTAGTAGATGAAAATCAGAGTGCGTTTGTTGAAAATAGGCTCATCATGCATAATGTTCTTATTACGCAAGAGCTTATTAGATTATATGGTAGAAAAGGCATTAGTAGTCGATTGTTGATGAAAGTAGATTTAAAAAAGGCATATGATTCGGTTGAGTGCGAATTTATAGAGGAATTATTGTTACGGTTTGGATTTCCGGAACCATGCAGAAGGTGGGTTATGATTTGCATATCAACTACTTCTTTTACATTATCCCTAAATGGTAGTTCTGTGGGGCATTTTGCTGGTCAAAGGGGATTACGACAGGGAGATTCTATCTCTCCTTTGTTGTTTGTTCTCGTGATGGAGTATTTGACCCGCAGTTTAAAGAATGTAGCTAGGGAAGGTTTTAAATTTCATCCACTATGCAAACAGTTGAAACTTACAAATATTTGCTTTGTAGACGATCTTATGATCTTCTACAAGGCTGATATTCCAACTATTAAGCTTATTATGGATGTTTTTAAAGATTTTTCGGAGTCTACTAGACTTGTAACGAATCTTCAGAAGTCTGAGATCTTTTTTGGGGGTGTTGGAGATGGGGAAAAAGAAGAATTCTGTAGGATCACTGGATTTTGAAGTGGTTCTTTCCCTATGAAGTATCTAGGGATTTCTTTGGCACCAAAAAAATAGAGTAAGGTGGAGTGCCAGTGTATTGTCAGCAAGATGGTAGCTAGGATTAGATGTTGGAGTTCCGACATTTATCGCATGCTGAGAGGTTGACCCTTGTTAACTCAGTCTTGATGACAATGCATGCTTACTGGGTAGTATGTTTATCTTACCCCAAAAAAGGTGACTGAAATGGTAAATAGAGTATGCAGGGTGTATCTATGGGGGAGTATGATGGTAGAGTTCTTTCATTAGTAAACTGGAAGGAAGTGTGTCAAACTAAATCAGAGGGTGGATTAGGGGTCAAGGATGCAAGGCTGTGGAATAAGGCTTCTGTTTTTAAGCAAGTCTGACACTTGATTCAGGGAAAGGAAGCACTATGGGTCAGGTGGATCCATGGTATACATTAAAAAAGCAAATTTCCTAGATGTAGCTCCTAAAGCTGATACCAGCTGGCACTGGAAACAGCTTTTGAAGATGCGTGATCTGTTTAGAGATGGTGTTGAAGGAATGAAATGGAAAAGTCAGAAGAATGGAAAATATTCTGTAACTTCAGGCTACAAATGGTTGATTGGAGGTGGTGAGAAGGACATTAATGCAAGATGTATGACAAGCCGTCGTCACACTAGTCAAATATTAATTACCTACTTAATAAAATTACTAGTAGTAAAGCAGAAAGCAGGGTCGATCCCACAGAGAAGGAATACTAATACCAGGTATAAATTACTCCTATTATTATCTAGATAAATGATGATCTCAGATTTATAAAATTTAAAACTAAAATAAATAAATAAAATAAAGGCAAATAATATTAATTCAAATAATCAGACATAGAAAACCTAGGACATTGGGTTCACCTACCGAATATTTGGGTTAGTTCAGTTCATAAGTATTTGACTTTTAACCTCCATTAATCTCACAACGATTCACCTAATTAAGAACTATTCACTCTCGTGTTATAATTCTCTTACTTAGATTAACCCTATGACTACTCTCGTGACTGTAGGGATTAATAAAAGCACATTAAGACCATTAAGAATCAAATATTGCAAAGGTTATAATCTTACTCTCGTAGCTTACAACCTAAGTTTGTTATTCCTACGAACTAATACTAATCTTCCACTCTCGCTACTTTGATTAATATCTTCAGACATGCAAATAGTGGCCAATTACTTACACGAATTAAAACAAGAATAACAAATATTAATTAATGGAAAAATCAAATAATAATGAACTAAACAAACCAAATAAATTCGGTGGCTACACCCAAGCCCTAGATTAAAAGAATTTAGCCACTAAACATTATAAAAAATAATTCAACAATATTTAGAGACATAATCCTAAAGCAATTTAAATTAAATAATTAAAACAAAAACACCCGGATGAAGAAAAAAACCGCCAAAAACTCCCCGACGGTTGTTTAGCTTTGCGGCTGCTGCGTGTGAGGACGATGAAATTGTTGATGATGCGTGGTACGCGGCGGGGAGGAGTTTTGCAGCGGCAGAGGAGGCTGTTGCGTGGGAGCAAGGTGGTGCTCGGCTGCTTCGGTGGTGCGGCGTGACCAGGAAGGCGGAGAAGGTGTAGCAGGGTGGCGGTGATGGTGATGATGAAGAGTTGACGATGGTGAAGAGGAGAAAGCTGCCGCCGGTGGTTTTGGTTTCGATGGAGGTGGGTTGAAACAGAGGTGGTGCGTGATGGAGAGTGGAGAAGAGGAAGAAGGTGGAGGTCGGCGGTTTCGTTGCAGCGGCAGGAAGCTTTTGCAGCGGCAAGGTGGAGCGACGGTGGAGAATTTTTGCAGTCGTGAGGGTTTCGGTCAAGTTCGGTCCAGTCCTGTTGTAAAAATAAATCCCTAATCTTCCTTTTATAGGCTTCCGTCAAAACCCTACTTCTTGGAGAGGAAGAAAACTTGTTTCCCAAATAATATCGGGATTAAAATTCTTACCCAATTCCAATCCTAAATCAGCCGCACAACCGTAACCTTCGGCCAATTTTCCAAAAAATTAAACATTCTAAAATTGCTTGTTTAATCCTCCAATTTTTCATGTACTTCACTTTTTTTCTTGTTAATTTATCAAATCTTCAATTCTCCCTTTGAGTTACTTTTATCTTCATTTTAGCCCACAATTTCAACAATTCTTCCTTTTGAGTACAATTCCTACAATTAAAGATAAAATCACATAAATAGTATATTTGTACTCAAAATATATTGCAAAAATCACAAATTAGGGATATAATAAATAGGTAAAATATAAGCATATCAATGTATTTGGGCTACTGCAAATGTGCCAAAGCATGCCTTTATTGCTTGGTTGGCATATAAGCGGAAGCTACTCACTAAGGATAGGATGGCCAGAATGAACTTCTCAGTTTTATATGACAGTTGCTGGCTATGTGAAACTGAACCTGAAACTTGTGAGCATCTCTTCTTTCAATGTAGCTACTCAATGCAGGTGCTGGAGCTGATGAAAAGATGGTTAAACTGCAGAAGGTTATCAGTTCAGAATTCCAGATGGAAAAATCAATTGTCGTCCATTTGGAAAAAGCAGAAGTTGAAAAGAAGTATTCTTGTGGCTGCAGTGATGGGTAGCATTTATCATATCTGGAATGAACGAAACAGAAGGCAATTTGATGGAGAAGAACAGCCTCCTGAAATACTGTTTAGTAGTCTACAAAAGGAATTGAAATGCAGAATTGGGCAAAGGAAGTACTCAAGAATATGTGTGGTTGAAAGGCAAATCTTAAAGCAAGTTTTTGGTATAGAATGATAATGAATTGTAC